AAAATTAGAATTATGGGCTAGAGAGATGCCTCAGTGGTTAAGAGTACTGGTAGCTGTTCTGAAGACTCAGGTTTGATTTCCAGCACCACATGGGAGCTCACACCCAACTATAACCGTAGTTCCAGGGGATGTGACCTTTCTTCTGATTACCACAGGAACATACATATATATATACGGGTAAAACACAAGTAATTAATAGAATAAAAACACTCAGAATTAAGTCAGCACGATGGCTCAGCAGGTAAAGGCACCTGCCACCAAGCCTGGTAACTGGAGTCTGATCCCTGGGACCCACATGGTGGGAGGAGAAAACAGTTGACTAGTTTATCCCCTGACCTCCACCTATCCATGGTGGCACACCCCTACCCTATACTGAGCAAACAAATGAATATAAAAACAAAACCCAGAGCCAAACAGCAAAGGTGTTAATATCACCATAACATTTTCCAAAATTCAAAGAACAAGAGTTGGGAATGATTGGCAGTTTGTACAGATAGTATAACCACCACTGGGCATTGCACAGCATCATGTTTACGATGGGCACAGGGTCTGGGGGAAGATGCTTTAGTAAGCCACTCGACTCCCATCAGCATTGTTAAGTCTGGTGGAGTTAGTGCGTTTGTATGTTCCTGGTATGATGATCACATACCAGCTATGAAGATTCCCGTACTGTTTGTTTCGGTCCTGAGAATTTTAGAACTGTTCAGTTAGGGGCCAGAGATGTCACTCAGTGGTTAGGAGGGCTAGCTACTCTGTTTACAGAGAACCTTATTGGGTGGCTCACACCTGCCAGGAACTCCATCTTCTTGGACTCCTCAGGCACTCTAACAGGTACAGATACATACAAAGAGAAACCGTACGTGCACACATTCTCTCTCTAAAAAATAGAATCTTTAAAATATGTTGAAATAGAAAAGTCAAAGTGCTTTTACTAAGATGTTGGGAACTCCATGCAGTTTGTTAGACTGCTGTGCCCGTAGGTAGAATGTGGACACCCACTAACCCCTGAGATGAGGTCACCACCCTGCGTTGCTCCGCGCTCCGTCCCCAGCCCTTTAGGCTTTGGTGGTTTGTCACTTTCCTCTGACACATGACTTGAAGCTTTATTTGTGGTCTCTTCTCAGACAGCCTGTCCATTTCCATCTTTTTCTGTGGGTGTTCTGTGTCACTAAACCTGTGGAGAACATTGTTGCTGAGATGAGAGACTCGTTTACTGGCTGAGCATCTTTGTTTTTCAACCTTTGCCTAACTCCTGTTGCTGCAGCTACCCCCACAGTGCCTCCAGGGGCTGTGAGGATGGAAGCGAATGTGTTCTATACAGCTAGGTCTCTTAGCCTTCCAGCAGGACTTTGTGTAGTGATGAGAACGCTGTATCTAGGCGCAGATAGCTCTTCTGTGCTTGAGCTGTGGCTAGTGGTCCCGAGGAACGGAACTTTTAATTTACTTTCATCTTAGCTTAAATAGAACTAGCTGCGTGTGGTGCTGGCTCCCACACTGGAGGGACACTCTGGGTTGGCTCTCTGCCTGGGATGGTTGCTTGTCTTCTTCCCACACCCTCCTCTGCAGTGTGGGAGATGCACACACCCTGAGGAGCCAGTGACCCCTCCAGGAAGTGGAGGTCTGATATCTGATGTTCTGTCTCTGCCGTCTCTCTTGAGTTCATTTCCCCCTTTCTGATGGCCCTGGGATGGAACCTAGGGACTCACACTGAAAGGAATGATGAAGGCTCAGCCAGCCCCTTTGTTTATAGAAGACACACCTGGTACCATCCCGGACTCTGCAGTTTCTGAGAAAAGGAGGGGAGGACACAGTCACCAGGTGAGGGCCTCTGTAAATGGCCGGCATATGAAGACTGCTCAGGAAATTGCCTCTTGGGGCAACAAAAATCAGGTCAGTGAGGTAATAGAGCCCCTGACAAAAGTCTTCCCTGTCCTCAAGCCCAGCTGGACTCCTGCCTGAGTCAGCTCCACAGCACCTTCCCTTCCAGGGTTCTGTTGCCCCCCCCCCCCCGCCCCCAGTAGTTCCAGTAATGAAGTTAGCAGCAGGGGTGGGTGGCACTGGGCTGTGATGGGGGCGGCGTTTGTCTTCTATTACATGAAAAGTAAATACAGTCCTTTATTTGAGAATTTCATGCTTGCTTGTCTCACATGTAACATGTTTTGCTCATGTCTCCCTTTTTTAGTTGTGACAGTGTGAAGCCTGGCTGGCCTGGATCTCACTCCCAGGGATCTGCCTGCCTTTGCTTCCTGAGTGCTGGCATTAAAGGTTCCCCGGTTTCTTAAAGCACATCAAGGTGACTTTAGGGCAGGTTTATGGCAAGTGAGTCCTGAAGCCAGCAGTAGATAAAACGTCATCCTAGTTAGTTTCTTGTTCTGATTCCAGTCGGGACCACATGGCTTTGACAGAGCCCTGCGTGTGTAAGATGAGAACATCTCATTTATTCATTGATTGATTGATTGCTGGGAAGTGAGCTTTAGAAGAAAGAATGTGAGCTTTCAGAAATAATGACATATATTTTAAGTGAATATTTGCGATTATGGAAAAACGATTATTTATCCTGCCTCTGTCTAGCCCATATTTACACAGGTTTATCTGGACAAAAGAGTTCAGTGCAGGCTTTCCTGTGTGCTCTTTGCTGGCTTGTGGCTCCATCTCCTGCCCCAGTCGCCATGGGGGCCTTGGTTTTCCAGACAGGGTTGCTTGTGTGTGTTTGCAAATGTGAGGTGGGGCTGGAGGTGCATTGGTTTTCAGTACAAAGCCTTTCTCCTGAGTGGGTAGAAGTGAGTGCTTGGTGGTACCCGAGGTCAAGGCAGGCACAGTCAGACCCCAGCCTTTGCTAGCAGGAATCAGTCTTCCTCTAGGAGCGAGGGAGGATTCTTCTGCGCCTCCTGCAAAGTGGTGCTGTAGGCCTTGCGCAGGGGCTTCTCAGCTGCAGCACAGCCACATGCATAGGGCGGCTTTAGAATGATGTAATATTTCAGTCATCCTTCCTTAAGCTCGCCTTATGATAAAAATTGTTGCTTAAAATAGAACCTATGTAAGTTGAAAAGGGTAATGTTAATAGGCATGCAATTTGCATACTATTTATAGAAAATCAATTTTAGAGCATTTGGTTTAAATTTTACCTCAGATTGTCTTTTGTCCCCGCCACGTGCTGATGGAGTGTCTGTGGTGTCTTTGTTGTTGCTTCTGAATTGACTTTGTCAAGGTAGCGTCATAAAAGTTCACCTTGGCTGTTCTCCGAGTGTTGGCTCCCTGGCATTAACTGTTCACATTGTGTAGGACCAGACTTCACAATGGCGCCTGAGTTAAGTTTACTCTTTTCAATGTCTCCCCTCTGTCCCCACTTGCCTCCATTCTACTTCTGTCTCACGATTTGACTCTTCTAGGCCCCGTAGCGCTTGCTGTTCGTGCCTGACTTACTTCACTTGCAGTACTCTCTCAAGGTTCCTCTGTGCTGAGCAAGAATCATGTCTTAGTTACTTTCCCACTGCTGTGGAAAGCACCGAGACAACTTCCTTGTGAAGTCTCTCTCAAAGCCTACTCCTAATGACACCTCCTCCAACAAGGCTACACCTTCTAATCCTTCTCAAACAGTTCCAGCAATTACGGACCAAGCATTCAAATAGATGAGCCTATGGGGGCCATTCTCATCTAAACTACTATACGTCAGAATTTTCTTTCTTTTGTTTTTGAGACAGGGTCATTAGCCCAGGCAGGCCCTAATTTACCATGTCCATAATTTACTATGACATTGAACTCCCGATCCTCCTGCTCCTGTGCACGGCACTGGGGGTGAAGCCCAAGCAAGGACTTGAGCATCTGAGCTGCACCTCTGGTCCCATCGCCTTTTTTTTTGTAAAGATTTTATTTATTATGTACACAGTGTTCTGCCTCCATGTATGCCTGCAGGCCAGAAGAGGGCACCAGATCTCACTGTAGATGGTTGTGAGCTACCATGTAGTTGCTGGGAATTGAACTCAGGACCTCTGGAAGAGCAATCAGCATTCTTAACGTCTGAGTCATCTCTCCAGCTCTCTGTCACCTTCTTTTAAAGACCAGTGCTCTGTGCGCGTAGCTCACATTCTGTCAGTTCACACACGGCTAGCTTTGGAGCATTGCCACTGTTAGACTGTTAGGAGTGTGCCAGGTGGTGGCACACACCTTTAATTCCAGCACTCTGAAGGCAGAGGCAGGTGGATCTCAGTGAGTTCAAGGCCAGCCCGGTCTACAAAGAGCATTCTTGGAAAAAACAAAAAATGATGTAAGCTTACAGTTCCAGATGTGGAATGGCTGAATTGCATAAATCTCTTTGGTTTTGTTGTTGTTGTTTGTTTGTTTTTTGGTCTTTCGAGATGGTTTCTGTATGTCCCCTTGGCCTTCTTGGAACTTGTCCTGTAGAGCGGGCTGGCCTCAGACTCACAGAGATCCACGTGCCTCTACCCCCTGGGTGTTGGGATTAAAGGTGTGTGCCACCATTGCCCAGCAATTCCAAGGGTTCTAATCCTTTTGACATCTATTTTATGTTTTTTTTTTTTTTTTTGAGACATGGTTTTTCTAGATCAGGCTGGCATTGAACTCACAGAGATCCTCCTGCCTCTGCCTCCCGAGTACTGGGATTGAAGGCGCGCACCACTGCCGCCTGGCTAACTGAGCCTATTTGCTGACACTGTAGACCAAGAGTGTGTCTGAGAGCTGTAGGTGCTACCCGGTACCCGGCAGCCTCATTACCGCCACCTGCTCCTCCTATCCCCGCACACGGGGAGAGTCGGTTGCTCTCCTCTGGATTGGATCATGAAGTGTGCCTGCTCTCCCTGCCTGGGTTTGGTTGGGGTGTGATCTAAGGTAATTTTGTGGAAATGACACGTTATGGAAAGTTAAACGTATCCTACCTTAAAGGAGAAGAGTTTGGGCAAACATGAAGCTGTAAGTGACACGGGCTGTGACAGATCCCTGGGGATGCCTTCCCACGTTCACTTTCTTATGTGCTTCTTGCGCAGGAATCATGGCCCAAGTAGCGATGTCCACACTGCCTGCTGAAGACGAGGAGTCCTCGGAAAGCAGGATGGTGGTGACGTTCCTCATGTCTGCCCTGGAGTCCATGGTGAGACACCGGTAGTTCTGCCAGCGTTCTGCTCAGAGTGGAAGAGGGTTGGGCTTCTATGAAACTAACTAATTAGTTAATTATTGCGGTGCTGGAGTTTAAACCTAGGTCCTTGTCTATGCTAGGCCAGCACTCTTCTGTACCCCAGGCCTCTTTAGGCCAGCTGACCTTGCAATTTTTGATCATTTTGTCCCAGTTTCTAGGATTGTAGAAGGCAAGCACTTTAGCAGCTGAGCCACATCCTCTCACTCCAAGATTTGAGCTTTCAAGTCATTTTATTGATGTTTTAGAACCTTTTTGAGCTGGGGCTCAAACTAGGCATGGCTCCAGCCTTGTGCCCTACACATCCCCGCCCTCGGGTTCTTAAAAATCCTTAATCTTACTGGAGTAGCTTTAAGAAAGCCAATCAGAATCTGAGTGGAACCCTCGTGTTTTGGAAACTGAGGCAGGAGGATCTTGTGTTCTGGCATAGTTTGGGCTATATAAGGAGTCCTGTTTCAGTATACCAAGAAGAACTCCAAAGAAGCAGAAGAAAAAAAAAACCTTGAGAGTGGAATTGCATTGTTGCCATTATGAGTGGCTTGAGAGCTCCTCTCAGGATGGTGACACTAATCTAATTCTCCAGCCCCTACTCACCTAACATCACCTCACTGTCCTTCCCGATGTAGTGGGACTGACCCTCTGGACCCTGCCTCCCTCAGGCCTCCAAAGTTCAGGTCTACAAATGTAAGCTAGTTTCTTGAGGAATTGGACTTAAACACTCAAATATTTTCTGCTCTCATTCATATTCTTTGTTTGTTTGCTTGTTTGGTTTTGAGATAGGATTTCTCTCTGTGTAACAGTTCTCATGGTCCTGGAACTTGCTTTGTGTACCATGCTGGCCTCTAATTCACAATATTAAGATGGTTTAAGTGTTAGAGTTTTAGATTTATCTAGAAAGAAATGGTGCTTTTAAATAGCTACATGTAATATAACTCTGGCTGTTTCTGTTGCAGTGTAAAGAGTTGGCCAAGTCCAAGGCTGAGGTGGCCTGCATCGCCGTGTATGAGACGGATGTGTTTGTTGTTGGAACTGAAAGAGGACGCGCTTTTGTCAATACCAGAAAAGATTTCCAAAAAGATTTTGTAAAATATTGTAAGTGGAGTTGGTTTTTTTTTTTTTTTTGTTTTTGTTTTTTTTTCGAGACACCGTTTCTCAGTAGCTATGGAGCCATTCCTGGAACTTGCTCTGTAGATCAGGCTGGCCTCTGATCCACAGGGCAAGTTCCGTCTTTAATCCTGAGTGCTGGGATTAAAGGCACGCACCACCACTGCCTGGCAAGTGGAGTGTTTTTATCTTGCGTTTGTAAATTTTAAGTATAATTATTTATAGATAAGACATCTCAAACTTTCTAAGAGTGAGTTATGCCAGAAAAAGACAGAAGACCCTCTGATGTGTTTGTAGGCGTGGTTCAAGACAAGTCCCTGACAAGTCATGTAGAAGGCATGGTCTGCGGGGTTGCTGAGTGCATTTGCTGTAAGAGTGGGCAAAGCTGAACAACTCTGGAAGACAAAAGGCCAAACTGCAGAGATCGAGGCTTGGGGAAGCCTGCAACTCTGGGCCTATTAAGGGACAGACACTGCCTTGGGTTTTTTTTATAGGGCTTCTTGGTCTCTCCTTCCCCCTCCTGGTCCTGTTTAGGCAGCAGCCTCCAAGCCTTCCCCCCACGTTTCTCTGCAGTCGTCTTCTGGGTACAAGGACCCAGCATCTCAGGACCTGCCTACCTATGTTCGTCTAACCTTCCTCGTTTCTCCCTCCCTGCTCTTGGTGGACAGAGTGATGGTCTCTAGCTGCCTCATGGTGACGTCTGGGATGCAGGGCCAGAAGAAAGAACACTCTTAACTTGGTGACTCTTGGGAAGGTTCAGGTGTGGCAACATTGTGGCGGGCAGTGTCTTAATCTCCATCTTCAGGACCAACTGTAGGAGCAGAGGGAGTAGAGAAGAGAATGTAGTACATTGTAGCCCAGCTAGGACAGTTGTTCCTAGTGAAGTCCTGTATCCTACTAGCAACCATCCAGGCTGGTCTTGAGATGGGTACAGGATCTGCTTTCAATACTTTGGTAACTGTTGGGGTGGCTAGCATCACAGTGTGAGGCCTTTTCCCTATAGCTTCTGCAGAAGGAACAATAGTGGTCTGTCTCTTTGGGCTGCAGGTGGGCTCTGCAGTGGTGAAGTGAACTAAGCTCATGATATCCCATTATCTGAGTAGCATTCTTCTCAAGAAGGAAGTCATTAGAAAGAAATAGTTGCCTAAATAACATCTCAATGAAAACAAAAATAACATCTCAATGGCTTTAATCCTAATGCCCAGGGAATGTGATTCCTTATACCGTTAAAGAAACATGCCAGTGGGTGGTAGTGGCACATGCCTTTAATTCTGGAGGGCTACACAGAGAAACCCTATCTTGAAAAAACAAAACAAAACAAAACATGCTAATTAGTCTATTCCTTGGCTATACTTTTCTGCTTGGGTGATAAAGACCACATAGGTAGCCAACATTAATCACATTTATATATTTTTGTTGTTAAGGTCACCTGAGGATCTGGTCCGCAGGATCAAATTGGGCTTGAGAGGAACTTCTGCCTATGAGCAGTTATCCCATCTGTGTGAGGAGAGTCAAAGGCCTGGCTTGACCATGGCTTGGCTTGGGCAATCTGTATTGACCTTCCTCTTTGTAGACTGGACACTGGTTACAGCTTTCCAGGTAGGGTCTCCTGACCTCACTGAGCAAGAGAGCAGGCGACTACACAAACACCAGGCCTGCCTCTGCCTCCCAGTGCTGGAATTAAAGGTGTGCATTACTCTGCCCAGCTGTAACTACCCTCAATTACAGGATATTTTGACCTAGACCTGGGATCTCTTTGACTTTGGAAAGCAAGAGGAAAAATGTCTCCCTTTGGTCCTTCTGACCACCTTAGTATAGTCTCTAAATGTGGCTGTTGAAAACCCAGAAGGAATCACACCAGTCTGGTCCTTTTAACTCTTGTGAAATATTTAGATAAAGCTTGGGCAAAAATGAAACAGATAAGTTTGGTTCTGTAAGCCAGTCCTTGTAATTATTACCAAGAGTAGACCAATATTCTGCTGGGGTTTAGCAGCAAGCAGAGGTTTGACATCAACGTTTTGACCTTTTCTTTACCTTTTATAACTTGTTCAGACTCTTGTAATTTGCTTAAGTTTCCCAGCTTTCTTTTCTGGAACAGCATCCAGCTGTCTGTGAGACAAATAACTTAACCAGTGAGCAGTCAGGTCTGGCTGTGACAGTCTTTTCAGGTTGCTACAGCGGACGTCATGGCAGTTTTTGGCTTGGAAGATAGTGCTACGTAGCACCACCTTAATAAAACACATTGAACTCAGACTTCCTAAATGGTAAATCAGTAGTTCCTGTGCACATGCGTACCGTCAAACTATGTTCCCAGGTAAACCGTACAGAAAGGCAAGGCAGTCTTTATATGATACAAAGAGTGATCTGCCATAACTGCTTTAGGTCTCAATGACCCAAATACACAAAAGGTGTTTGTTCCTCTGTAAAACTGAACCAAATGCTTTACACTGTGAGTCCGAGGACAGCTAGCTAAACCCAAAGTCCCTGTCTGACCTCTTTCTAGCCAGCGTAGATTTTTCCAGACGAGTCTTCTCACCTGTTAAGTCTTTCATTGGGATGGGTGTTGATAAGCTTCCCTTTTAGCATCTGTTATAGGGTCATGAGTGAGTTGTACTGTCTTAGTTACTAGGTTTTTATTTTTTTCTTCAGTGATGAAACACCATGACCAAGGCAGCTTATACATTTAATTGGGGGTTTGTAGAGTTTCAGAGGGTTAGTCCATGATCAACATGGCTGGATGTGTGGCTGCATGCATGCTGCAGGCAGGCATTGGAGCAGCAGCTGTGAGTGAATATCTTATCTGCAAGCTGCAGGCAGTGCTGGAGGAGGTATGGACTGACTGACTGACTGAGACTGGGCCCTGGTCTGACGTGGGATTTTGCAACTTCAAAGCCCACTCCTAATGACACACCTCTAATGTCCTAATGTGACCACACCTCCTAATCCTTCCTAGACAGTTCCACAATTGGGAACTAAGCTTTCAATCATATGGCTCTATGAGGGCCATTCTTATTCATGCTACCACAGGTAGTAAACACCTGTGATCAAAAGGAGGAGCCAGCTGATAGAAGTGTCTGCCTGAATGTATGTCTAACCTGAGCCCTGACTAGGCTTGGGGTGACCAACTGCTGGGAAGCCTGTCACACCCTGTCTTATCTGTGCTAATAAGAAGACTGTGGATGTGGTGTGTCCATACTGCAGGGGGAACACCCCAGGGGATATTGGGTCCTTGCCTTCTGACAAGAGCTCTGCGGGTCTAATTCTCCATGTGAGAGGCAGCTGAGGGGTAACCTTCGAAGAATCTTGGAACCAGTTTGCCCCCTTTGTAGTGAGGTAGAGAGGAAAGAAACCAAAGTCTTGAGTATGGGTTGCCTATTCCCTCCCTGTATCCCTCGTCCATTTGGATAGGCATGGCCAGTCTGTCAGTAGGGAGCAGCCGGTCCCATGGAGAGGCCAGACTTAGTAGGATTACCACACCTACCTGTGCAGCTCTCCCGCCAGCTCCCAGTTCCATCTTTAGTCTTTCTTGGGGGTCATACTGTCCTTTGGCCATGGAGACTTAGGCTGAGGTCTCCTTTAGCTCCACTTTCCGAGATGTTTTTGATGCCACCAGTGCTCAGAACGCTTGATGAACGCACATAAGCTGTGACAGGCGTTTGCAGCCCCATTTACTGGGGTTATAGGTGTGTGCCGCCATGCCTGGCGAGCCACAGATTCTCTCTCCAGTTTCCCTCTGAAACTTCACAGACCAGGACTGTAGCCCATTTTCAGCCGCGGCTCACAGGCGGGTTGGTCCTCCAACATAGGCTTGTCTCTGGTTCCTGTCACATTCCTGTCTGATCTCCAGATGGGCAGGCGGAAGGCCTTTGGGGTGACAGCTCCTGGTAGTGCGAGTTTCACACCTGTGACATGGTGTCTAGTCATCTAACCGAGACAAGTTCCATGCAGCTCATGGGTCCTTTTAGACTTGGCCGTCAAGGTTTCAGGCACACACTGGGCCTGCGTTTTTTCAGATCCACCTTCCTTATTAGATCTCACTGTACAGCCATGAGGCCAAGGGTTCATGGTCGCAACAAGTAGAGCCTGAAACATAGAAAGTAGTCACAGAGGTCTGAAACTCTCTCTGGTGGGGCAGAGGGTGACTGTCCTCTGATCTCTGGATAGCTCTTGGCCATTGTGAGCAGGCCAAGGGCAGGCAGGCCTCGTGGTGGGTTTCAGAGGTGAAAAGGCAGCATTGGGAACAGTGACCCTGGATCCCGCACTCTCCTAGGAGTCACTGCAGGTGCGCAGGTGGCCTGTCTTGACGTCACCAGATTAACTTAAGCCCTTTTTATCTTCTTGAGAACAGGAAAGTAAGAACTTTTTGCTTTTGCAACAGGAGAAGCCTAAGGCTAGGAGTCCAAGCTGGGTATTTCATAGGGTCCTGGTGGCTGGGCGGTGGTGGTGCACACCTTTAATTCCAGCACTCCAGAAGCCGAGGCAGGCAGATCTCTGTTAGTTCCAGATGAGCCTGGTCTGTAGAGTTCCAGGACTGGCTCCATAGCTACCGGGAAACCCTGTCTTGTAAAACAAACAAAACAAAACAAAACAACAACAACAAAAAAAACCTACAAAAAATAAGGTCCTGGGTTCTCTCTTTCCCCACTGCCCATTTAGATACTGGATCATACAGGAGCGCTGGAGACTGAACCCAGCGCTCCGTGCATGATTGGCACCGAGAGCTATGTTCCCAGCCCTCTGTTTTCTTGCGCTATGGTCTCGTGTAGTGTCACGGCTGACTGCCAAATCTTTTTTTCTTTTAAAGATGAATTTGCTTTTATTTTATGTGTATGCGTTTTCTTGTCTGTCTTTGTGTCCATGTACCACTTACATGCCGCACCCACACAGCCCAGGAGAAGGTACTGGATTCCCTGGAACAGGTATTTCCCAGGGTTTTAAGCTACCATATGGGTGCTGGGAATTTATCCTGTCTTCCTGCCTCAGCCTCCCCACTTGCTGGGATTGCAGGTATAAGGCACCTCGCCCAGCTAAGTTTTTATTTTATTATCATTATCTATTTATTTATTTATTTTTGACTTTTCAAGACAGGGTTTCTCTTGTGTAACAGAGCCCTGGCTGCTCTGAAACTGACTTTGTAGACCAGGCTGACCTCGAAATCCCAGAGATCCGCCTGCCTCTGCATCACAAGTGCTGGGACTAAAGGCGTGCATTCCCATGCCCAGCTCTAAGTTTTTGTTTTTAAAATTTCCCCTCATTTCTTTTTCCACTTAAATTTTTATAACAAATTAGAGTATAGAGCCAGGGCATGGTGGGCCATGCCTGTAAACCCAGCACTTAGAGGACGGCTGAGATTTTGGGACCGTTGGCGGCTCCATAGGCTACAATGAGGCAGAACTAGGTGGTTTTGTGATATCTTAGCTCAGAATGGAGGCCGGGAGGCAGAAGGGAAGGAAGAAAAAGGCATAATAAAAATACTCTCACTAAAGGCCAAGTAGTAAAGAGATGGCTGTGCTGGCTAATTTGTGTCAACTTGATCCTGACCAGTTGCCCAGGAAGAGGGAACCTCAATTGAGTAACTGCCCCTAGCAGATTGCCTTGTGGCCATATCTGTCTGTAGGGGCATTTTCTTAATTGATGACTAATATGGGAGGCTCAGACTACTGCGGGCGGTGCCGCCCTGAGCAGGTGGTCCAGGCCGAGAAGCAAGTGAGCGCGCTGTCCCTCCCATGGCCTCTGCTGTGGCTTCCGTTGATGACGCTGTCAGCTGGCTGTAAGCCGATGAGTTCTTCCCTTCCATGATGGTGTCTATTCCAGCAGCAGAGACACAAACCGGGACAGTGGATATGAGCCTTTGCCCCCCTGATTATTTTACAGGTGTTGAAGAAGAAGAAAAGGCTGCAGAGATGCATAAGATGAAAGCTACAAGCCAGGCGAATCGGATGAGTGTGGATGCTGTCGAAATTGAAACACTCAGAAAAACGGTGGAGGATTATTTCTGTTTTTGCTATGGTAAAGCTCTACAATTTGAGAAAAATACATTATATAATGGTATTATCGTCTTTTAAAAACATTGTGTTTCTGTGTACATACAGTGTGCGTTTGTGGGTGTGAGTGCTTTTGTGGGTCGGTCAGGACAACTTGGTGGAGTTGGTTCACCTTGCACTTTATGTGGGTTGGGAGATCAAACTCAGGTTTGTGCAATAGTTTGTGTCTCCTCTGCTAGGCAGCTAAAAGCAAGTCAAGCTAAGTCTGGGCATTTATAAGTAAGAATAGGCCTCTGTTTATTTGGGAGCTGGGAGGCAGGCTCCCAAAGAGTTCAAAACGAAACAAAAGAAAAACCAAAAAAAAAAAAAAAAAAGAAAAAGAAAACAACAGTTGCAATGTGGGTGCTAGGAATCAAACTCAGGTCCTCTGGAAGAGCAGTGTTTTTAGCCACTGAGCCCTCTCTCCTGCGTAGCTCTGGCTGGCCTCAAACTTCCTCTGCTTCCTGAGAGGATTAAAGGCGTGCACCACCACTGCCCAGTTCCAAAGCTGGAGCTCACTGATTGCATGCACTGGGTAGCTAGTGAACCCCACGATTCCTTTTTTTCAACACTGGGATTACAGTGAGCCTACCCTGCCCTACTTTTTTTGTGGGTGCTGGAGATCCACATTTGGGTCCTTATGGTTAAATGGCCATCACTTTAGATACCGAGTTATCTTCCCAGCCGCAGTGATTCAGTTTTTTTTTTTTAAGATTTATTTATTTATTATGTATATATACAGTATTCTCAGTATACTCTGCCTACAGGCCAGAAGAGGGCACCAGATCTCATTATAGATGGTTGTGAGCCACCATGTAGTTGCTGGGAATTGAACTCAGGACCTTTGGAAGAGCAGGTGGTGCTCTTAACCACTGAGCCATCTCTCCAGCCCCGTGATTCAGTTTTTAACTGTGACCCTGGGCATGCTGATTCCGTGTTTTTCTCCCCAAGGAAAAGCTTTAGGCAAGTCCACAGTGGTCCCTGTGCCCTACGAGAAGATGCTACGTGACCAGTCGGCTGTGGTGGTGCAAGGGCTCCCTGAGGGCATTGCCTTCAAGCACCCTGAACATTACGACCTTGCAACTTTGAAGTGGATTCTGGAGAACAAGGCAGGGATCTCATTCATCATTAAGAGGTGAGATGCTTTCTCCTGTGTTGCCCACATGTTTGTTCACACGTGTTGACTGTTTAATCCAGATGCTGTTTGTGTTGCTGCTAATGCATGGTTTTGTATTTTGTTTTCATACAGACCTTTCCTGGAGCCGAAGAAACTCCTTGGTGAGTACATTCCTTTGTTTACATGGTAGCCTGCTGGGTTTTTGATTTTGAGTCTGTGATGTAAGACATTTTTGAGTCAGGGTTCGTGAACAACCTGTGGCGGCTCATGAGGTGAATACACGGAGTCACGTGGTGTTTCATGTGTCCATTTACTGGGTCTGTCTTCTTCACCAATCCTAAGAGTAATTTGGTTGACCTGGTGTCACTGGAGAGGCAGGGTAGTAGAACACAGGAGTGTGTTCACCTCTGAATATAGCATGATACCTTTGAGTGTTGCTCATGTATTAGGAGATGTCAGTGACTATCAAGTGACCACCACCAGAATACACCATCCATATACAAGCGCATCCCCGAGAAGTGGAGGACGACTGTAGCAGGACTTCCTCTAGGGGAATCTGGCCATTCTGCTTAATTAGGACAAAACAAGACAGTTGTTCCTTCAAGCCGGGTCTAGTTGAGATTCCATGTTTTGTTGTATGTGTATGTATGTGTGTTTAAAGTTTTATTTTTATGTATATATGTGTGTGTGTTTATCCATGAAGGCCAAAAGAGGGCATCATATTCCCTGGAGCTGGAGTTCCAGGCAGTTGTGAGCCGCCTGTTGTGGCTGCTGGGACCTGAACTCAGGTCCCTGGCAAGAACAGCATGCACTCTTAACCCCTGGAGTGAGTCTCTGGCCCCTACTTGACACCTCTTAAAGGTGACACTCAGTCCACAGGAGACCTTTCTACCATATAAAGATGACAGAGAAAACACATGGATGAGTATGTACGAGTATGCCTGAGAGTGCACACGTGCTCATGCACATACACGTCCACACATACACACACAGCCATTTTTCCTATTTTCTAATAAAAGATCAGAGATAGCCAGTTTGGCCTTGGACACGTTGTGAAGCCCAGGCTGGCCTCAGATGCCTGATCTTCCTGCTAGGCACGTGTAACCACGTCTGACTTACACATATTTTCTGTAAAACAGCAACAAAAAAATTAATTTGGTCAGTTTTATTAAGGTGTAATTGATATTAAATTCACCTGTTTTAAGTGTAGAATATATGATTTTTAATAAATGTACAGTCTATAACCATTTGAGGACCCAGCTGTGGCACAGTCTTGGCTCAAGTGTGTGAGACTGAGTTCAGTGTCCAGCACTGGGAAAACAGCAACAATTGTTTCTTGTTTGGTCATTTTGAGCCAAAGTGGCCTCGCAGTCACAGACTTCCAACCTTCCCCTGGTGCCAGGAATATAGGTGACACCACCATGATGAACTCACTGTGCGTTCCTCCCCCCCCCCCCCCCCCCCCCCCCCGCCGTCNCCCCCCCCCCCCCCACAGGGTTTCTCTGTGTAGCCCTGACTGTCCTGGAACTCACTCTGTAGACCAGGCTGCCCTCACACTCCCAGAGATCCAACTGTCTCTGCCTCCCGACTGCTGGGATTAAAGGTGTGTGCCACCACTGCCAGGTTATCAATGTGCGTTGTTTTTTTGGTTTTTGTTTTTTTAATAATTCTTATTTGTATTTTATGTACATTGGTTCTCTGCGCACATGTATATCTGTGTGAAGGTGGCAGATCCCCTGGAACAGTTATAGATAGTTGTGAGCCGCCATGTGGGTGCTGGGACTTGAACCCAGGTCCTCTGGAAGAGCAGCCAGCATTCCAAACCGCTGAGCCATCTCTCCAGTCCCCAGTGTGCAATCTCAATGAAAGTCCTTAGTAGACAGGTAGCTGACAAGAATTTTTTCCAGTCCTGTGAATTGTCTTTGTTCTTGCTTGATAGATTTTTTTTTAAATTTGATTTTTTATTAGTTTATGTGTATGAATGCCTGCATGCTTATCAACCACATTCTCCACATCACCTGGTGTCTGGTGCCCAAGGAGGCCAGAAGAAGGCATCAGGTTCCCTGGGATTAGAATTACCTTGGTTGTGAGTCAGTCCCCTTGTAGGTGCTGGGAATTGAACTCACCAGGGCTTTTAACCACTGAGCCATCTCTTCAGCCCATTTGCTTGGTACTTCAGTTTTTTTTTTTTTTTTTTGTTTGTTTGTTTGTTGGTTTTTCGAGGCAGGGTTTTCTGTATAGCCCTGGCTGTCCTGAATTCCCTCTGTAGACCAGGCTGGCCTCGAACTCAGAGATCTGCTTGCCTCTCCTCCCCTTTTAAAGGCATGCAACACCACTTTTACTTTCTGTGTGTTGGCAGCACATATACTTCTGGGTACTTGTGTATGCATGTGTTTGTGCAGATGCCAGAATTAGTTGATGCTGGATTAGTCCACCATCATTCTCAACCTTGCATTTGAGACAGAGTCTCTCACTGACCCTGGTGCTCACCAGCTGGCCAGTGAACTCCAGGCTCTACCTTGCTTTAGCTCCTGCTTTTATGAGGGTACAGGGAATCCAAACTCAGGTCTTCCATGCTTGTGTTCCAGGTCCTTAAGCTATTTAACTGTCTCCCCTAGTGCCTAGTTTTACATAAGAAAAAAAATTTTTTAAATTTATTTCTTGGTAGGGAGGGCACGTGTGCTCCAGCACAAGGTGGAGGTTAGAGGGCATCCTGCAGGAGTTAGTTCTGTCCATTGTATGACTCCTAGGGGGCAAACTTGGGCTGGCAGGCCGGCAGCAAATGTTGCCAGCTCTCTCACAGGGCCTAGTCTTAACATTTCAAGGAAATGATTTCCCGTCTTTTGTCACTTGTGCTCCGGATGGCTTTCTTCTCTGGCAAGCTGTCGTGTGGGTGCTGGGAGGTGATGCAGTCCACAGTGCTTGCTCAGCACTCGTGCTGCGATGCAGCAAAGGAAAACATCAGCAAACGTGGGGCCTGGACGTTTGCCCTGCAAGGGTCCTTCTCCCAGTGTTCGGGTTTTAGCTCCTCGATTCCAGTCTGTAGTCTTCCATTCCCAGGGGTGCTAGGAGTGGAAGCCAGGGTGTCAGCACCAGTCACATGCTCCACGGAGCGACGCCTCCCAGATCTACAGTCTATTTTGGGTTTGTATATTACAGAATGTAAAGGCATAAATGTGTCTTTGCATCTGGGTCTCCACCAGAAGCAGTCAGTGAAGAGTGCATTCTCTTTCTCTCTGTGTTGTCTTGGTAACTTTGCTGGAAGTCAGCTGACCCTAACTCTATTTCTGTTTTCTTCACAGCAGATGTGCGAGTGGAGAGTGTCCCTCTCCTTCCTGCCACAGTATGGCTTTTGTTCTTTACTCTTTTGATCTGGTTAGGGTTAGCACTGAATAATAGTGGCCTTTAGTAGATGTCACCTTGATGCCCATCTTAGGAGAGAACAGTCTGTCACCTCCACGTTGTTCTCCATGTTAGGCGGACATTCCTCTTTGACCATTATTGATGAAGGCATCAATGTGTGAGGTCCTCTTTCAGATTGAGAAAGAAGCAGAGTTGTGGCACAGGCCTGTTATCCCAGCGCTCAGGTAGCTGAGGCAGGAGGATGGAAAGTTTGAGGTCAGCACTGACTACATAAAGGAAAATTCAGAGTATTTGTTATGTTTAAAGTTTAGATTGTGGCCACCGAAGTGGCCCAGACAGTCTGCAGGACAGCTTGGCAAGTAAAAGACACACGCTGCCAGGCCTGAGACCCGAGCCGCGTCCCTGGGGCCCACACCAATACACTGCCAGGCCTGAGACCTGAGCTGCATCCCCGGGACCTGCATCAGTAGCTGTGTGTGTTAGGAATGCGCTTTGCTGTGAAACGAAACTCCGGAAGCTTGTGAGCCCAGTGGTCCTGAGTACACAGAGCATCAGAAAAAAAAAAGAGGAGAGAGACCCTGCCTCAGGAAGGTGTCCTCTGACCTCCCATTGTGCACTTGGAGAGGCACTCATTCATACAGGAGAGGCCGGGGGTTGGCATTTATTGTGGGTGACTTGAGCTTGTGTTTGTGTTCATTGTGGTGTGGCTACTCTGGGCTTTTGTTATGAGTGATCTTTTTTGTGATCAGTCTTTTACTTAAAATAATGGAAGTAGTCAGTTAAATTACTGAGTTAATTAAATTTTAGTCTTTGCAATCAACCCCAAGATCTTGAGCATGTTAAGCACATGGTGTGTCAGTGATTTACATATCCAGTCCCTGGGTTTTTTTTATTTTCTATGTGTGTTGTGTATATGTGTGTTTGTCTTTGTATCGGGTGTATCTAGGTGTGTGTACACACATGTGGAGGACACAGGTTAACAATCAAGTGTCGACCTCTATTGCGCTACACTTTATTTAAAAAAATAATTGAATTTGTTTATTTTGGGTCTGGGTGTTTACCTATTTGTTTATGTATCTGGAAGCTTATTTAGGGACATTCTTGTTCTATAAAGTTAAGATCCTCCTGTTGCAACCTCCTGGGCAACCAGGAACTAGATCTGTAGATCAAGCTGGATTTGAACTCATAGAGATCTGCCTGCCTCTGCCTCTGGAGTGCTAGGATTAAAGTCATATGCTATCATGCCTGGCTAAAATAAGTTTATTTTTACAAATAAACAAAGTGTATAACTTATTCTCAGCTATGGGGGGTGTACCAGTTATTTCTTTGGTTTTTTTTTTTTTTTTTTTTTTTTTATAAAAAACTTTTAATATAGCATCTGATGACCTTAGCTTATGGTCCTTCTGCCTCAGTCTCCTTAGTGTTGTGGTTACAGAAGTGCCACCATGCCCACCTAGGGATCTCACTGAATTAAAAACCAGTTCTTTTGGAGTTGGGTATATGTTCATGTTAGAGCAGTGAGGCAGGGAGGTTCTTTCTTGCTGTGGCCTGTAGGGTGAATCCATTGCCAGCTTCAGCAACTTTGTGGAATAGGTACCAAAATAGGGTAAAACCAGGGCACAAGAGATTGTGGATAAAGGCTTTTGCAGACAAGTTGGATGGTCTGAGCTCTATCCTCAGGACTCTCACAGTGGAAGGTCAGAATGAGCTCTTGCACATTGTCCTCTGACCTCCACACTGAGGTGCATACATGCCACCTGCCTCCCAATACTCACACACATCAGTAAATACATTCTTAAAAGCCAAAGGAGGGCTGGGCATCACTCAGGAGGCAGAGGCAGGTGAGTTTAAAGCCAGCCTGGTCTATAGAGTAATTTCCAGACTAGCCAGAATCGCATAGTGAGATCCTGTCTCAAAAACAAAACAAGCTAAAATATGAAAAGAGAGCTGGAGACCAGAGTTCAGGGTGGAGTTCTTTTGGTCCTCATAGGCAGAGCACTTGAGAGGGGACATAGATTCAGTCCACAGTGAAGCTAAAACAAAATGAAGGGCCTCTTACTTCCTGACTTGAGGAGTAAATTGACATGCAGTGAACTACAGATTCATTCGCACACATTGTGATCAGTGTGGACCCATGTGTGCCATGTGATCCGTTACCACGTCAGCCCCATTCCTCATGGCTCCTGCCTGCTGTACCCTCAAGCTCTTCTTGAGTCTTTTCCTGTCCCTGTAGGCTTACTGGAATTTCCAGATTTGCTTGCGTGTACATAGGTATGTCACGTGCATGCCTGGTGCCCAGAAGTTAGAACAGAGTCAGTTCCTTTGGAACTGGAGTTTTGGATGGTTGTGAGGTTGTGAGCCATCATATGGATGCTGGGAACCAAGCCCAGGTCCTACAAGAGCAGCAACTGTTCTTGCCCGTTGAGCCATCTCTCCAGCCCCAACATTTCCAGATTTTCACATGAATAGAATGTTAACATGTGTATTCTTTTGTTTGGCTTACCTTGAAATTACCTGTGCTTTGTATAGTAATAGTTGGTTCTCATTTTACTTTGGTATTGTGTGCAAGTCCTCCTGCGACCCCACCACACACACACTTTAAAACTGTTGGAGACTCTCTATGTAGCCCTGGTTGGCCTGGGATTCACAGGGATCTGCCTGCCTCTTCCTCTTAAGTGCTAGGATTACAGGCACGCTGTTACTCCCAGCCTTTGCTTGTTAAGACTTGCTTCCTGGGTGGCCTGGATCTTTTGATATAGACCAGGCTGTTGCCAAACTCAGAGCAGACCTCCTATTTTTACCTCCCATGTGCTCTCCACGGGCAGTTCCCTTGTCCATGTTGTGTCATGTTATATGTAGATAGAACATGTGTTTACTTATTCCTAAGGTAAGGAAATTTGGATTATATAGATACTTGGCTCCCTTAGGAAGGGCTGTGTAAGGTTGATTGAAGGTCTAACCCCACCAGTCTCTCTCCTCAGTGCTGGTGATGCACGCCAGGGGCTTGTACAGGCTAGGTAAAGGGTCCCCTGCTGAGCCACGAGACCAGCGTGTTTTGCAAAGGTGGGACAGGGCTTTGCTGTGTAGTCAAGACTGGTTTTGAACTTTAGTTCCTCTCAGCATCTCTAGTGCTTGATTTCCCTGTGTGCCTCCTAGCCTGGCAAGACAATTCTGTTTTGGGCAGGGGGAGTTTCAAGATGGGGTTTCTCTGTGTAGCCCTGACCATCCTGGAACTCACCCTGTATAACTAGGGTGGCCTTGAACTCACAGAGATCTACCTGGCTCTGCCTCCCGAGAGCTAGGATTGGAGACTCGTGCCCCACAGCTGACAGTTCTTTTAATTCAGCTTTCAAAGAGTAATACAAGTTGGACCACTGATCATTGTGCTGTGAACACTTCTGTCAGAGCTCACCAAAGCCCCACACTTTTGTGTGTGTGAAGTGAAAAGTGGATGAAGGCGTTTAGAGGCTGTCTGTTTGCATGTTTCTCCTCCAGATCCTCTCAACCCCACCTTGAATCTCCCACAAGCCAGGTCCATAGTAGCTTGAGCCTGTAATCCCTGCGCTGTGTGAGGTGAGAGATAGTTGAGAGTTGAAGGTCAGCCTGGGTTACAGAACCCTATCTAAGATACAAAACCAGCAACAACAAAAGGAGTTGGATGTGGGCTGCAGTGTGGTGGCGCACACCTTTAATCCCAGCAGTTGGGAGGCAGAGGCAGCCAGATCTCTCTTGAGTTCGAGGCCAGCCTGGTCAACAAATCAGATTTCCAGGATCGCCAGAGCTATTACACAGAGGAAACCCTGTTTCATAAACAAAATCAAAACAAATAGGTGGGGGGGATTGTTTGGGAATATTAAAATATTAACCCTGCTTAAAATGTTGTTAAACCTGAATGTAATTTGCTTTTGTTTGTAGGTGGCCGAATGATGGCATCAGATACTGAGAGGACCATCCTGTCGCCTGGTGGAAGGTAAACCATCCCTCGCTGGCACTGTTGTGCCACGTGCCCTGGAGTTACCAAAATAGCAGATAGACACGTGCCCCACATCCGGACTGCACTGTATAGCTGAACACTTGGTTATAAAAATTTTGTTTTTGAGAAACAGCCTTACTTTCTAATAGCCCAGGGTAGTCTCATATTGGAATAATCCTGCCTCAGCCCCCTGAGTGCTGCCATTACGGGCGTGTGACATCAGGATTGTAGGTTTGACTCGGTAGCTGTGCACAGTGGTGCTCCTTCCGTGAGGCTGGCCATCGGGGAAGCTGTTGACGACTGTGTGAGTGGCCGTCCCTCACAGTTGCATCCTGTGATCTGAATGTGTTCCTCCTTTCAGCTGTGGCCCCATCAAAGTGAAAACTGAGCCCACAGAAGACTCTGGTATGTACTAGTGCTCTTCGGATCTGTTACACAAAGAAGGTGCTTTCCTTAGTTGAGGAGGTGATATTTTCAGAGTCGCTAGTTATTGTGTCTCTTAGGAGCCTCCTGCCTTGGCCTTGCTAATGCTACTATTACAGGCATGTGTAACTCTACCTAGTTTCATTGCAGAGGGGACCCATAAGATTTTATTTGTAATTAATGCTTAATTTTGTGCATGTGCTTGTATGACTATGGTATATTTGTATGCATGGTGGGAGCGGGAGGTCGTGTGCCTGTGCATGCTTCAAGACCAGGAGAGGGCATCCTGTGTCTTCTGCTCTAACTAGTCCTTTGAGGCAGGGTCTCGACCTGGGCCAGGTCTCTTAGCTCAATCCTATTGTCCTTGCCTCCCTCAGCTGAGGTTCTGGGCATTGGCTAGTTTGGCCCACTTGTTAAGTGAGTTCTGAGCTATCTGAGTTCTGGTGCTCAGGACTGTAGAAAGCACCCAGATCCAGAGAGCTTTCCCCCAGCTCCCTGCTGCGCTGTGGGGTGACTTGTCATTTCCTCACGGGAGGGGATGCTGAGCCTTTCTTCATGTAGTTATCACCCATCCCTGTGCCTTCCCTGATTACATGTCTCTGTAAATTCTCTGCCTCTTTACCGTGTGCGTGTGCATGTGTGTGTGTGGGGGGTGAGAGACAGACAGTGCCGTTGGGGGGGGGAGAATGGAACCAGACATGTGTGCCATGGCGTGCCTGTTGACATCAGACAACAGCCTCAAGCGTTGGTCTGAGGCGTTGGCTGCACACAGGCCAGGCTCTCTGACTGTGAGTTTCCAGGGCTCTCTGCCTTCCATCTCATGTGAGAGACATGCACCACCATGTCCAGCTTTACGTGGGTTCTGGGATGCCAACTCTGTCTTCCGCTGTGTGCTTCTCTCATTGAGTATCTTCCCCAGCTCCTGTTGCTCCGTTTTTAACCAGTGGGTATTGTTTTTTTTTTTTTATTCCCTAGTTGTCAAGTTCTGAGTATTTTTTGGATATAAGTCAGGAATATGGTCTTGCAAATGTTTCTTATATCCTGTGTTCCGTCTTTCTATATCTGTTTATGGTGTCTTTGAAACTCAAAAAATAATAAATTGTGGTTACTATGCTTTTAAGGTTGTAGTTTTTTTAAAGATTAATTTTCTTTATTTTTTTTTTCTTTTTCTTTGCTTCTTTTGAGACAAGGTCTCTCTATATAACCCTGGTTGTCCTGGATCTCATTGTGTAGATCAGGATGGCCTTGAACTCACAGAGAACTGCCTGCCTCTCCCCCTCCATGTTCTGGGATTAAAGATGTGCACCACCATGTCTGATTTAATTTGTTTAAACTTTTTTTATTTTTGAGGTTATAATGACATCATTTCTTCCCCTCTCCTCCCTCTAAACCCTCCCATATACCCTGCCTTTCTGTCGAACTCAGGTCATATTGTTATTTTGTTATTACACACACACACACACACACACACACACACACTCCTAAATCTAACCTGCTCAGAGTGTGTCATGTCACTTCTGTGTGGATGTTAGCAGAGAAGACTGTTTCTTCCTGATCTCAGCATTCCCTAGTTGCCTGTAGTTCTTTTTATAGGGTTGACGTCTCATGGCTTCTCAATTTTTTTTAACTTAATTTTCAAAGTTAGCAAATTCAGGGTAGTGGATTTTTCTGTGGCATCCTTTTTTTTTTTTAATGAAATAATTTTTAAAGCTGAGATTGTGCCATATACCTTTAATCTCAGCATTCAGGAGGCAGAGCAGGCAGATCTGTGAGTTCTAGGCCAGCCTGGTCTATACAGTGAGTTCCAGGATAGCCTAAGCTACAGAGCAAGTTTTAGGACAGCCAGCTCTGTACAGAGAAACCCATCTCTAAAGGTGTGTGTGTGTGTGTGTGTGTGTGTGTATAAAGTATTTATTTATTTATTGTTTTAAAAATTGTATGGGAGCTGGAGAGATGGTTTAGCAGTTAAGAACACTGGCTGCCATTGCGAGAGGAACTTTCTTCAGAGTCAAGGAAAAAGAAGCAGCCCCAGAAGGACGGCTTCCTAATGGCAGTAAGAGCCAATAAAAGCATAGGCCGTGGAAAAAGGAAAAAAAAAAAAAAATAAAGAACACTGGCTGCTTTTCCAGAGAACCCAGCTTCTATTCTCAACACCCACATGGCAGCTCAACTGTAACTCCAGTTCCAAGGCATCTAATACCTTCCCCTCACAGAGACACACATGCAGGCAAAACACCAGTGCACATACAATTGTATGTCTATTTGTGTGTCTCTGTAGATGTGAGTGCAGTGTTAAGAGCTGCCAAATCTAGGTGACCTTTGGAAGAGCAGTACACGCTCCCAACCTCTGAGCTATCTCTCCATCTCTGTCATTGTGGAATTTTTTTATGATTTTTTTACTTGTTTGTTTGTTTATTTATTTGAGGCAGGGTTTCTCTGTTGCTTTGGAGCCTGCTCTGGAACTCACTCTCTAGATCAGACTGGCCTTGAACTCAGAGATCTGCCTGCCTCTGTCTCCTGAGTCCTGGGATTAAAGGCATGTGCTACCACAGCCCGGCTCGTTAAAGTTTTTTTTTTTAATCCCCTCCTCCATTTCTGTTTTAGTGTTATTTTATTTAGTGATAGTATGTCTCTGTGGCTTGAGCTGTTGTTAACTCCCCCTCGGCTTCCCCGCTGCTGGTGCTAAAGGTACGCCTCTCTGAACCAGACACAAGGTTTACTTTTATTTTCCTTTTACCTAGAAAATATTTGTCCAACCTAACGTCAACAAAGCTTTGCAGTGAGGTTTCTGCTTAGGGTTTCTAGCGTTAGCTCTTAGGGTTGGTCTGTGAGGTGGTGAGATGGTTGTGAGGCATGTTGGGAGGTAAGAGCATAACTCACTCAGCTTGTGTGGATGTTGGAGACTTTCTCTACTGCAGGACTTGAGTCTGTCAGGGGCAGCGGAGTCTGCCCTCACTCTCCCGTCCCCATCCGAGAGCAGTCCGGCAGCCATGCCCACTGGTACTCGGTGTTCTAACATTTCCTTTGTTCTGACGGGGCAAGACGAGGTGGCCATGCTTCTTCCTTCCCGCTCACCTTTTCCCTTGGAGCTCATTGAGTTTTCCTGTGCAGTTTGTTCAGATCGGTCAGTTGGTTGGGTCTGTCTGTCCATCAGTTGCCGAAACCTTGACGTGATTGGGTTGCAGGTGATTTCCTTTGACACCTACCTAATAAGCCTTTGCCCTTTCAGAGTCTTTAACGTGTAAGGATTTTACCGTGCAGTGCCCTGGAACTGTGACCTACTGGAGGCTGTCACTTGTTTTGTAGGCATTTCTCTGGAAATGGCCGCTGTGACAGTGAAGGAAGAGTCAGAAGACCCAGATTACTATCAGTATAACATTCAAGGTAACAACTATTTAACACAGCCTTTCTTCCCGACACTTGCTGGTGCCTTTCACTCTCTGAGTAAATGGCCGTCCCTGCCGCAGTGCCTGTCCTGAGCTCCCATGGCAGCATTGCAGTCAGGGGAATGGAGAGTTCTAGTCTGCAGCCGAGGCAACTTCTCTTGTGTAGTCAGTCTGGTTCGTCTCAGCGGTTCCAGCGTGGCCTGGTAGCACGTGCTTACCTTCTCAGCACTCAGGAGGCCACGGCCAGCCAGAGCTCCCCAGCGAGACCTTGCCTCAAACCACTGAGCTGTGTTAGTGGCTTCGTCAGTGTGAACAGTCTTGAGTTTTCACAGGGTTCTCGTGTGCACTTGCCTGGTAACCTTGATTTTTCTTCAACGTGATAAGCCTTATTGGATGTGGAGTGTTTGACAAATGCCCGGAATAATATTTCATGACGGTTAAGTGTGCAAATATCTGTGTACACGTACTGCTGAGTGCCAGTGACAGTCATTTAAAAAAAAAAAAAAAAAGCTGGGGGTAGGGTGCCTGCATGTATGGAGGTGAAGGGGCAGCTGGTCCTGGTTCTTTCCTTACACTGTGTGGCTCCTGGGGATTGAACTTGGATCATTAGGCTTGGTGGCGTATGACTTTACCCCTTTAATCTGCCTTGCTGGCCCCATATTTATGGTATCTGTAGTTAGTTTGGGACAGTTTACTGACTGTGGTATAGGACTAAAAGCTGAGACTAATCATAAGGGTCATTTTTATGGTTTTCGAGTTAAGATTTTGCCGAGTAACTAGACTTGGTTGTTAGTGTCGTGCTCATGTGTAGACTGACCTTTGAAGTGAGATAACCCCACCTTTACAATCTTCTTCACTGACATCATTTCCATCGCCTGCTGCGAGTGTAAGTCCCCCACGCCCCTCCCTCCACGCACACGGACCCTCAAGACCCACACCTGGAAGGTGACATTTTATTTGTTTGATAGTTTTTGAAACGGTCTCTATTATATAGCTCTGGCTGTCCGGGTATTCATTAAGTAGACCAGGCTGGCCTCAGACTCCTAAAGATCCTCCTGCGTCTGCCTCCTGAGTGCTGGGATTAAAGGCGTGCGCCATTACTCCTGGCCTTAATTATTTTTTATTAGTGTGTATTCATTGTGCAGAGTCATGGTTTGCTTGGCTGGGTGGAGTCAGGGTCTCACGTGTCTCAGGCTGTCCTCGGGTCCTCACGTCACTGAGGATAGTTTTGAACGTGTGATGATCCTCTTGCCTCCCCTCCTGTTTGCCTGTTTGTTGTCCTCGTTGAACTGATGGTTTCTTTAGTGCAGTTGAAGAAGTTAAGCTACAAGTTTGCCAGTCTCTAGGCCAATAGAGCAGTGGCTTGTGGGTATTTTCCCTTTTTCTTTCTGCCCTTTTTCCTCTCTCTTCCTCTCTTCTACATTCCCCTTTTTGTGCTGGAGATTGAACTCAGGGCCTTGAGCTGCTGGGCGAGTAGGTGTTCTGCCCCTGAGCCGCCCCACAGGCCTACAGTATCTCTCCTTTGTAACATGTCACTTGCTTGTCCTATGTGTCGGTGTCTTTGTGAAATTCCGTCTGTGCTATTGCAGACTGTTCAAACACAGTGGTTCTCAGCCTGTGGGTTGTGACCCCTTTGGGGATAACCAACCCTTTCTCAGGGGTCACCTAAGACCATCGGAAAACATATGTATTTACATTACGATTCATAACAGTAGCAAACTGATACTATGAAATAGCAATGAAAATAAATGTAACAGTTGGGGTCACCACAACACGAGGAACTATATTAGCGGGTGGAAGCATTAGGAATGTCGAGAACCATTGTTCTGGGCGGTTCTGGTTTGTATTTAGATAGTGCTTTGTGTTCCTGTTTTCTTTTATTGTGGTTCTCCTATGAGTCCAGGTTCTCAAACCCAGGATTCGCCATACTGCCGTGAATGCTGGTCTTAGAGACTGGCTGGTTGGTGTTTATTTGATTTGTGTTAAGAAGTAGCCATTGAAAGTAGTGCTTTGCTTCTTCAGATTGATTGATTCTGAGAAGCTTTTTTAGGGTCTCTGGGCTTTAGCTCAGTGGGTAGTGTTCACCTCGTGTGTCAGAAGCCTTGGCTTCCGTCCCCAGCACCGAGCGGACTGGCTGTGCTGGAGCTCGCTCGCATCCCCAGTACTCTAGAGGTGGAGGCAGCAAGGTCAGAAGTCAGAGGTCAGCATGAGCTCCATGTAACTGTCACATACGATGGAAACGTACCTGTACTGGAAAATGTGTTGCCTAGATCTGTGGCTTTGTGGTGGCCGGTAGCTGTGCTATGTGAAGTAACTGTCATTATGGCATCTTCATGTGTGTGTGTGTGTGTTACATTTGGACCACAACCCTGCGTCTCTGTTTTGCTTCTTTACCCTTTGTGTACCCAAGTCCCGTTTTTCTCTCCCAAGTAATCCTCCTGTTTTCATGTATTTTCAAAATATGTTTACTAATGAAAAAACTGTGTTAACTTAATGAAAAGTATGCCGGTCCAGAAGGTGCATCGATCCCGCCTGGGGTTTGTTGTGTGTGCCTCTGCAGTGGGTGATGCTTACTAATCATGTGTGTTCTTCAGAAAGCCTGGGAGAGGTTAGCAGTTTGCTAAGGAATCCCTGTAATGGAAGAAGCCAGCACTAGGCAGGCATGTGCAGTCAGCATCAGCCTTTACTGTAGCGAGCACTTCTGTTTGAGACACTGAGCCTCCATATCAGACCTGCCGTTCCCATCCCATCCCTGTCAGTCATTGTCGGTCATCCTCAGTTTAACCGTGTACACATACCTGAACACACTTTCCCCATCAGCTATCAAGACCATCGACTAACATCACTTTTTTTTTTTTGCCTCTTTTTATTTCTAAAAAGGCCATCATCCCATATACCTCACCCAGATTTGCTCTAATATGACCAATATGCTTTGAAATTCCTTTTGAAGCTTATCTTTGTATCCCAAAGCAGGCCCTTCTGAAACTGGTGATGTTGATGAAAAGCTCCCCCTTTCGAAGGCTTTGCAAGGTATCGCCTTTCACTTCTGCTCTCCCACATCCTGTTCGTATTTGCTGTTTCTTTATATTGGACAGACTGTTTTGATAATTATATTACTTTTCCGAATGGAAAAGGAAAAAAATGTATTGGCCTTTTTTTTTTTTTAACATAAATGAACTTCACAAGCAAAATTTTTCAAAACCAATTTTCCCTTTTGTGAATCTAGTAATGAATCTCGAAATGGGTACATGACACACTTTCCTATTGAAGGTAAAGTACGCTTTCTACCTTTATCAGCATAGTCAGCAGTCAGGCTGTTACTGTTGGGTTAGCCGTCTGAGTAGTGCTAAGGCCCGGTGATGCTTAGCTTGGGAAGGATTGCAGGCTATCACTTGTAAACCCTGTGCTTTTAAATGACTTTTTGGGTCGCTTTTGTGCTGTGTTCCCAGACTCATAGTCTGTTAGTGACGGCTTTTCCTTTATCCCTCCTGGCTTTGATCTCATGAGATTTATTTTCTTTAGCTTTACTGTATAATGTAAATATAATGGTCTCTCTCATTTTCGTAGATTTTAGTAGGGCAGAGAGGACACACAGGGCCATAGTGTGCATGCGCAGCCTTGCTAACCCGCCCTCGCTGTCTCAGCCACTCCTGTGGAACGGCTGGCCTCTTCTCCCTTCTCTCATGCTCTAGTTGCACATCTGTTTCTTATGACTTTACACAAAGAAGTTACAGCTCCGTAAATGCAAAAGTTAAAGTGAAAAGGGATGATAAGAACGTGTGTAGCGGAAGCGCAGTGTGCCTGTGGCTCACAGGTGGGCTTCTGAATAGAGTCTGCCCCTAGCTGTGAGTTCCGGTGAGTTCCCACTGCGGAGCCCGTGGGGTGATCCCGAGGCAGTGAGAGCATGGTGGCACAGAGGCCCTCACCTCAGGTGGGCACTGCCAGAGCTCTGAGACGCTCCAGGTCAAGTGTACCGGTGATGGCCTTAGCCTAACGCTGGAGTGCGCTGGGCACAGCTGTCAGGAGACCTGCCGCCTTCCCCTCCACGGCTCCTGTGCCGGCCGGCGTCTGTTTTCCTTTATGCACGATGGTGTTTCTCCTCTTTTCCTGTCCCCAGCTTAGACACTTAGAGATTGAGGATGCACTTGGGCGCAGCTGTGCACTGGATCCTATGGGCCGTTTGGTGTCCTGGCTGGTGGCTCGTGCTGTGCCTGGTCCTCTTGCTGTAGTAGGATGACCTGCTCTCCTGGCTGCCTGACCCAACAGGCGGCTGGATGTATGCCCCATGTCCAGAAGCAGGCAGGTTATTTCCTGAACTAAAATGCTTTTGAAACTAAAAGTAGTCTCTAAAATTTTAACTTGACTGTTAAAGTACAACTTTGATTAAATTATGGGATATAGTGTCCGTAGCTTCTATCATAGTAGAAAGGAAAAGAAGGAACATTCCACACACAATAAGCCTTGACTTCATTTGTTTTGTTTTGTTTTGTTTTGTTTTTTTGACACCTTGTTAAGTCTCTAGGAAAGACAGACTTTGTTCTGATTTGGTGTTTTTGTTTGTGAGTTGTTGCCCGACGAGCATGGTACCTGGGCTGTAAGGCTCCTCAGACCCCAGCATCCCGGCATTGTAGCATGTGAGACAGCACTAATACCAAACCCCGAGCCTGCAGAGTTTCTTCTGGGGGTTTGCACTTTCGAGTTTTCAGCTTCCAAATAGCAGTTAAACGTTTTTCTAAGTTAGAAAACATTGTTTGAATTTATTACTGAGTTAAATCTTTTTGTATGCTTATTTATACTAAATTGTATGGTCACCTAGTTTTTCTTCTTTTACTGCTAGTTTTTTTTTTTTACTGGTTTAGTATATATTGTTCATTTTCTTTTTAGGGAGCCATCATTCTTCAGAAGGCAACGAAGGAACAGAAGTGGAAGTGCCAGCAGAAGGTTAGGAAAGAAGGGACCTTGCATTTTACCATATCTGTTGCACGTCCTTTGGAGATGAGATGATGGTGTTCGCGCCTTCATGGCCAGCACTGTCATTTTTAGAGAGGAGGCATGCGGTGGCTTGCACTGTGCTAACAGGCACTGGGCCTGGCAGTCATGGTTAGTGATGCCCTTGGCGATACCAAATAAGTGGGTTGTTTTGTTTCGTTTTAGCTTTCTCCTGCCTTGTTGAAAGGACATTGAGGAGAAAAAACTCCCATGTTTTATCTTATTAAATTAATTAATTTATTATTTTTCAAAATTTTAAGAACTAAAATAGTTCCTAGTTGTATTCTACTTAATTTTAAAACATAGCCTATCATCCCCAGTTTGTTCATAGGGCAACAGATAAAGTTTGTGGCTGAGAAGTTTTCTGTCTTCTCACCGGTATGCTACCCTGGGAATGGCTGCCACTCAGCCACTGAGTTCTCCCAGGGACAGGGTTGAGGAGTGTGAAGGACCAACTGCCCAGCCTGCAGGGAGCCTCCTGCTGAGTGCTTGGAGTGTGGTTCATGGAGGGCTTGTAGCCCTCCGAGGGCCTCGTCTCTTGTTTCTAATTCAGTCTCCCTCCATTAACTGCTGTTTGTAGAACACAGGGGTAATTCATCCTGAAACTGGTTATTCCTTGTGTTTGTTGTCATGTTTTAAGAAATCACGGATTTCATCTTTTACCGGCTAGTGAAGGGGTGATCCTAGCAAAGACATGGGCTGATCTATGCACACACTCAGCGGCAGAAGTAGGCTTTCTATAGGAATACATTTCTCTCAGAAAGTTCATGTCTAGCCGGGTGTGGTAGCGCGCACCTGTTATCCCAGCCTTTGGGAGGCTGAAGCAGGAGGATCACCCATGAGTTCCAGGCCAGCCTGGGCTACATGATGAGACCTATCTCAAAATAGAAAAACAGAAACAGAAATACTTGGGCTAACTTAACTGTTCTTCACATGTGACTGTGTGGTAAGCACCCTGTTGGGCTTGCAGGGGTGATCTGCTGTCCTCCGTGGCAGGTCTTACATTGGGGTGGGTGGTCCTGCTAACAACAGGCCTCTGCACAGAACCTGCATGGTTCCTCCAGCACCTAGACTGCTTCACCGCTTCCCAAGTCTGTCAGCACATACTATGTCTCTGGAGACTCGTTTCTAAGGGAACTCCTGTTGATGTGTTAACAGCTGAGCGCGCTTGGGTTCTGCCCTTTATTCCTGTGCTAACAGCAGACATCATCTCTGGCAAATCAGTTAACCTCTCAGCCTGCGCTTTCAGCACTAACATTTCCTGTGCACCTACGCTCTGTGTGGTCACCCCGATCCCAGCCAGTCTCGCATGCCCTCGTACCAGCGGGAGCTCTCTTGATATGAAGGTCTCCTTTGCAAAAAGTTGGTTGTGTTTTGATTTACTGGTATAAACCACTTGTGGGCTTCCTGGAAGGAGAGAGGCCTTAGTGTCTGCTGTAGGAAGCATGTTTTTAGCTGGCCTCTTCCGTCTATAGCAAGGAAACAGTTGTGAGCTTGCTGTAACCACATTCCTCCGAGAGCACGGGGCTCTTGGTCCACTGATGCAGGTAACTTGGTATTATCTTAACATTTTCCAGCGGTTCTCTACATTTTGTTTTCTTTTATCCCTAGTTATAATCAAGGGTCAAATACTTTTAATGAACATGAAATGAATTTAAACGCCAGTTGCATTTTATTGTAGGCTTCTTTGGGAGCACCAGACAGTAAGTGTTGGAACACACGGAACATGCTGAATAATGAATGTCATTTTAGAATTTTATATTTTTTTCAAGATTCTACTCACCATGTCCCTTCAGAAACAAGTGAGGACCCTGAAGTTGAGGTGACCATTGAAGGTTAGTTATTTCAGCCTTGATCCAAGAGTTCCCTTCTGGTCATGAGCATCTGTGTCACGGTCACACTGAGTTTGCATCTCATCCATTCTGAAAGAAGCTGGGGACAGAGCAGCCCACGCCCCAGCAGGACTCCCCAGTTGCTCTGGGAGTACTGGGTGGCAGATCTAAGCTGTGCAAATGAGGCTTGGCCCGGAGGTAGAGCAAACTGTGCTTTCTGTCAGTAGTAACTGAGGAGGGTGAGGGGAAGACATCCGAACCTAGACCACACACAGAGGCAGATTCTAGGACCTTTTGGGTTATGGTAGAAGAAACTTAAGAACAGCTGGAGGTCCTAGTATCTCAGTCAGTAGAAGGGAGGAGAAAGTTGCCCAAATTGGCCTCAAAATGTTTCAGCTCCTGCCTCAGTTTCCCAAGTAGCTAAGACTATAGGCATATGCCATCATATTGGGTGAGTCAGTAAATTTGAAAGAAAGTCTCTCCCCCAATACCACTTATTTGTCTTTTGAAAATGTTTGGAAGCAATGGTTGCAAATAAAATTTAAAATAATTTCCATTATCTGAATTACCTTAATACTTACTAACTTATATTTTTGGTTTTGAGGCAGGCTCTCACTGTGTATTGTATCCCTGGTTGGCCTGGGACCTGCTTACTGTGTAGACCAGGCAACCTTGTATTCAGAGAGATCTATCTGCCTCTGCTTCCTGAGTGCTGAGGTTAAAGGCGTGCGCCTTCAATATTTTTTAAAACATTTTTTCATTCTAGAGTAGAGTCTCACTATGAGGCCTTGCTGTCCTGGAGTGACTTTTTGACCAGGCTGGCCTTGAACTCTTAGAGATCTGCCTGCTTGTTCCCCAGCGCTGGGATTAATGGCTGTACTGCCATCCAGGCTTCCCTTCCCTTTAGTCTCCTTGTCTCCCAGGACTCCTCTGTGAGTGCCCTCAGTGTCGTGCCTTTTTGTACAGCACTGGACGCGAGGGGCTAAAGTTCCCCCCGACCTACCCGTTCGTCAGGGGGCAGTGGCAGGACATTGCTGACAAATCTTTTGTATACACATGTGTGTGTGGATATGTTTTTGCAAATTTATAGAGGTGCATTATGATGCAGGCTTTTGTTGCCTAGCTCGTGCCCCCCACCTCCCCAGCACCACACAGTTAGCAGTTCTTTTTTTTCTAACCACAGCATAACATTTCTTGGTTTGGGAGCTTGGGTGTGCTCTGTCTCCCTCTCTCTGTCTCTCCGTGACCTGTCCTATTGTGTCTCCATTGTATTGAAGATGTACGCTAGTTTGATGGCTTTCACGTGGTAGAAGAAATCTTTTCATACTTCATGTTTCAATTTCAGTAGATTAATGCATAGATTTGTCTTCCTCATTCACATAATTTTATTAACCTGAAAGCTTCTTTGAATTCTTTGTGGTCAATTAAAGAGTTGAAATTTTGTCACCATTAGTTAAAAGCCTATTAGGGACCGGTGAGGTGGCCCACCTGGTAAAGGCTCTTGTCGCCAAGCCTGGTGACCTCTGTTCAATCCCCAGGACCCACCTCCTGCACCTCTCCCCGAGCACATACAATAAATGAAGAAATAAGTAAATTATACATCAAAAAAATTATTTTTATTATTGTGTGTTGGTGTTTTGCCTGCATTTATGTCTGAGGGAGTCAGATCACTTTGAGCTGGAGTTACAGACAGTTACTGCCATGTGGATGCTGAGGATTGAACCCGGGTCCTCTGGAAGAGCAGCCAGTGCTCTTAACTGCTGAGCCATCATTCCAGCCCCAAACTATAAATTTTTAATTAAAAAAGTCCCTAATTAATTCCTAGAAAATTTTGAGCATGTAAATGAGACAATCAACTTTGTTCCTTATATAGAGCTAAGAAAAGTAGGTGCTTTTGGACTAGATGGGAGAACCAAGCTGGATTTTGGGGTTTTGTTTGTTTGTTTGTTTGTTTTGAGACAAAGTCTCTATGTTGCCCTGGATGACCTAAAAATTCATATGTAGACCAGAAGACCAGGCTGGCTTCAAACTCACATAGATCCAATGGCCTCTGCCTCCTGAGTGCTGGGATTAAAGGTGTGTGCCACCACACCTGGCGTGAAATTGGTATAGTGATTGTATTGATTATTTATGAAGTGAATTCGGTCTTATAGCACCAAAATCACACAAGCAAACAAACAGAAAAGATGGGTAAAGAAAGATCCCTACTGTATATTATGTTTAATGATGTGAAAAATCTCTGCCTATCATTAATGAAACCACTTTCAAAGAAGAAGCACGGGGCTCCAGAGAGGTCTCAGCAGTGAAGAGTCCTTACTGCTCCTGCAGACAACTTGCATGTTGCTGACAATCTTCCAGAACTTCAGGTCCAGGGCTCCAGTGTCTTCTTCTGGACTCCAAGGGCACCAGGCATGCATTTGGTGCACATACATTTGTGTAGGCCAACTCTCATACACATAAAATAATAATAATAATAATAATAAGTCTTTTTTAAAAAGTAAAGGAAACGCGTGACTGGAGAAGAAACGTTTCCTTGAGGGATGTGTTTCTATTCTGAAGAAAGGGTTAAGAAAAATAAAAACCCCTGTTGCCTGTGGGCAGCTGTTATCCCCAATTGTATCGTTCTACATTTTCCAAGGAGTTTATAGAAAAAAAAAAAAAAAAAAAAGAATAAGGAAAAGAAATACTTGTTGGGCAGTGGTAGCGCACATCCTTAATCCCAGTAGGTGGATCTGAGTTCGAGGCCAGCCTGGTCTACAGAGCGAGTTCCAGTACAGCCAGGGCAACACAGAGAAACCCGATCTGGAAAAATCAAAAACAACTACAGAAACGTGGTCATATTTTATAGTGTTTTAGCTTGATACTTCCCGTGTCTGCGCTCTTGTTTCTGGGCTCTTGTTTGTGGTGATTCCTGTGCGGCTAGAGGCAGCCGTTAGCAGGTCCCAGTGGACAGAAGTGAGCTGTGTTTGGGAAGCTTTGGAACAGTCTGACTGTATGGGCCTCCGCCTCAACCATGCTATTTCCTTTGGCATAGGCAGAGATGATGTAGGGCATGTGTGCACACTCAGGACACTAAGGGAGGAAGATTGCGTGGGGAGGGCAGAGCTTCGTATGCAGTAGCTTGCTTTTGTGAGAGTTCTCGTCAGCTAATAAAGAGCCTTTTTTGGAAAGCTCTCCTTACCACATAGCTGTCCTTAGGGTGCTGCTCCCAGACCCGAGTCCTCTCCCCACACTGGTATGCTGCAGCCCAACTTCTGACCCTGACTTGATTTTCCTTTGCTTGAAGTTGCTCTAAAGTAAGTTTGTTGTCTGATTTCATGTTGTGTTTTCATAGATGAACGATCTTGAACTTCTTTTTTTTCTGTTACTGTTTTTTTAAGGCCATACAAATATTTCTGCGTGTCTTTGGTCCATCTGGCCGCTCTCTGTGCGCCGCCACAAGCATCGCTGCAGGGCTGAGTGAGCGACACACTCTGGACAGCTGTATCTCTCAGCATGAGTGGGGTCTTCACCGCTAGCCCAGCTGAGCAGCCAGTTGCCCTTAACATATGAGAGCTGTGTGAGTTTGGACAGTGTCATTTAGAGCTGGGGTGTCATTGGTAAACTTAGGGTTGACAGTAGACAGATGTCCTGTTCCAGAGATGGCCTTTTTGTGTGTGAAATTAATGCTGAGGGGATTGGCTGCAGCCTGTAATCAAAGCCTGCAATAGGATGTCTCATGTAGCCGTCCCACAAGTGTAAGAGCCTTCTATGCCTGGGTGCCGCTGTCCAGAACAGCTCACACCTTCACCTCGAGGCTGCAGGACACCGTGTGAAGGAAGCAGTGGTATCGGAAGGAGGTGCTGGCTCGGCAGGGCGGGTGGAAGCCCTTGGGGCTGCTGTTGAGTCTGTAGGCACTTGACCTAATTATATGAAACACTCTCCTCGACCTTTTTATCTTCATATTCAACTAGGATTATCTTCATAAAACATGTGTCAGTAGATCTCAAGAAATGTATTTGACTGACTTAAGTGAGGTGGTTTTGTTTTGAGGTTACTCTCTATGTAACCCTGGCTTCCTGGAACTCAATATATAACCTGCCTTGAACTCCTGATCCGTTCTGTGCTGGGATTACAAGGATGTGCCATGACACCTGGTTTTCATGCCTGTTTTTGGAAGACTGGTCTCCACCTTGACAACTTCTGTCTCTCAGATGCTGAGATTCCAGGCTTGTGCTACCACACCTGGCTTCAACCTTATTGACTTTTTGTTTTGTTGTTTTTTATTTTTCAAGACAGGGTCTCACTGTGTAGCCTTGGCTGTCCTAGAACTCACCTGTAGACCAGGCTGGGCTTGAATTCACAGAGATCTACCTACCTCTGCCTCCCAAGTGCTAGGATTAAAGGCTGACATTTTTTTCTTTTAAGTCTGTTTGAAAATAACAATTATATCTTAAATTATCTTAATACTTTGTTATTTGAATGGTTGTTTGTGATAGCTGTTGTCCTTAAGTAGTATTTATTTCTATTCTATACTTATTGATTGATTGATTTTTGTGATAGGGTTGCTTGTATTCCAGGCTAGCCTTGAACTTGATGCTTAGCTGAGGATGACCTTGAATTTCTGATCTTCCTTTTTATACTTTTCTTTTTTCCTTTCTGAGACAGGATCTCACTGTGTAGAACAGGCTAGCCTTGAACTCACAGAGATCTACCTGCCTCTGCCTCCTGAGTGCTGGAGAGATCGCTCAGTGGTTTAGAGCATTGCCTGCTCTTTCAAAGGTTCTGAGTTCAATTCCCAGCACATGGTGGCTCACAACCATCTGTAATGAGGTCTGGTGCCATCTTCTGGCCTGCAGACATACACACAGACAGAATATTGTATATATAATAAATAAATATTAAAAAAAAAAAAAATGAGTGCTGGGATTAAAGGTGTGCATCACCACGCTTGACAAGCCTGCACTGTCTTTAAATACAGATTCTGTGAGCTACTTTAGCTCATGGTGTTGGAGCTGACAGCATAGGTCCTGACCGTGGGACAGAAGATGATCGTGCTGTTTTTCCTTGGGCCAGGTGTCAGGTGCACTGAGAGATGGATTTTACTTGGGGGTCCCCTCTGTGCCACTGAAATAAGCATGAGCTTCATAAGTGTGCTGACCTGTGTGTACCCTGTACTCCCATCCTGTTGGGTATTTATACATGGGTGTGGAGGGAGTCACCGTCTCTGTTCATTTCCTTCTGGAAACTGCTATTGAGACTATTTACAGAGCCAGGATGCTGGTGCTTTAGGAAGCTGAGGCAGGAGGATCCTGTCTCAAGTAACAGCAACAACAGAAGGCTGGTGTGTGCTTTAGTGGGCGAACCCAATGCCATGGACTGCCCTGAAAGACACCCTTCTCCCCCACTTCCTCACCCGCACCACACACACACCTTGTTTCAGGCCGATGGAATCGTTTGTGGGTTTCTTCTATTCAGGGTTCATCTTTTTTCTAATAACACACTTGTATTCTTAGTCGTGAAAATAGCTGCCTCCATTAAAACCTGTTTTTTCAGAACACTTAAATCGATCACAACTGTGGTCGTGGAGGCTTTTAGAGAAGAGAGTAGTGGTTGGAGGGATGAGCAGCTGGCTGCAGGCGGGGTAGCTGTGGTCATTGGACAGCTCCCGAGCGCCCAGAGCTGTCCTCCCCACTACACTGTCACTTCAGCTGACTCCCGCAGTAATGAGGGTTTTCTTTCTCAAGATGACGATTACTCCCCGCCCACCAAGAGGCCAAAGAGCAGTGAGCCACCCCCGCCTCCACCGGTCCCAGAGCCCGCCAATGCTGGCAAGCGCAAAGTGAGGGAGTTCAACTTCGGTAAGTGTCTGCAGGGAAGAGGGTAAGAGGGGGGCAGCGGCAGCTGTGATGTAGGAGGTGGTGGAGCTGTGTGAAGCCTGTAAGCAAGTGTTGTAGATGGCATTGGGTCGGCCCCTGGGCGCCCCATTATCCTTCAAAGCACTGAGCCCTTCGTTTACGAACTTAGTGCTCAGTTTTGCTCTGTTTCCCTCTGCTTCTCATTGTCCCTACAGTTCCAGTGGATTTCTAAGGGACCATTCAAATATTAGGGGGGAATTAGTTTTGTGGCCCATACTTTGAAGACCACTTAACTCTTGAAAATGTCTTTGTTTTGTTCCTGTTGGGGTAGACCCCAGGGCCAGTGTTCTGCCAGTGCTCAACCCCACCCAGCCTTGATGAAGGCATCCGAATCCCCCACTTTGTTCTTGTTCTTGTTGCAGCTGCTGGCTCTAACTGGATTTTGCGTGTATGTGAGTTTGTTGAGTGTTTTCAGCATCGTATGGAAGTGGCAGCTGCTTCCCTGTAAAGTCGAGCTTCTCCACAGCTGCCGTGCTTCAGTGCTCCAGAGGACCCGTGTAGGCCTCGCCCTTTGCCGCTGTTTTGCAGTGCTTAATTGGGCTGGTCTTTTCTGATCGCCTAACATTAAGAAGTTTAAAAACTACAAAGGCAGTCTGTAGACTGTTCTAAAAATAAGTTTCAAATGTCCCTCAGCCTCTAACTGCTCCTAGGAAGCACAGGAAAAAGAAAGACACTGAAGTCAGGGAACAGCCAGACTGAGACGAGCTGTCAGGCAGGTTGTCTGCTGCCGCGACCACCCGGTGCCAAGCTGCCCCTGGTACTGAAAGTAGCTTCCTTTCATTTTCAGAGAAATGGAATGCGCGCATCACTGACCTGCGGAAGCAGGTTGAGGAGCTGTTTGAGAGAAAATACGGTATGTCTGCAGAGTCGCCCGCTCAACCCATTGCTGAGGTCGGCCAGGAACTGTGCCCTCCTCACACATCTGTCTCTTCTAAGGACATATTAGCAACCTAACTGTCCAGATCAGATTACCACACCACACACACACAGTCGCTTCATGCTATAATTTTTTTTTGAGGCAGAGTCTTTACTATGTAGCCCTGATTGTCAGAATTTGCTATGAAGACCAGCGTGGCATCCAATTCACAGAGATCCACCTACCTCTACCTCTAGAGTGATAGATTAAAGGCATGTGCCCCCATGCCTGGCTCAGATACATATTCACAGATTTACATTTGTTGATCTTGGCTCTTGAAAACTTTTTTCCCCCAAGACAGGGCTTCTCTGTATAGCTCTGGCTCTCCGAAAACATGTTCTGTAGACCAGACTGGCCTTGAAGGCAGAGATCCCCCTGCCTCTACTTCCTGAGTGCTGGGAGTAAAAGCATGCACCACCACTGCCCAGAAATTTATTTTTTTTAAAGATTTATTTATTTTTAAACCTTTTTCGGTGTTTTGGTTGCATGCATGTTCCATCCCCTCATGTGCCTCGTGCGGAGATGGTTGGGAGCTGTGCATACTGGGAGCTGAACCTCTGCCAGAGCAGCGACTGCTCCTAACCACTGGGCCATGTCTTCAGCCCCCAACATGTATTTCTTAACTATGACTGAGGACTGTAATGAAGCCCTAGAGCTACAAAATCATTAATTTGCTAAACATGGTATATTTTCCTTTTGGTGTCCTTCATGATCCTCCCACCTTGTGTTTAGGCCTTAGTTTGTGGGGGGGGGGGGGTTTGTTTGTTTTTGTTTTTATTTTTTGAGGCAGTTTTTGGAACCTGTCCTGGAACTCTGTAGACCAGGCTGGTGTCGAACTCACAGAGCTCCACCTGCCTCTGCCTTCCAAGCACTGGGATTAAGGGTGCTTTTAATTCACCCATTTCAAAGCAGGAAACACGGACACAGTCCATGTAGAAGCAGGGAGGTACAGCAGACAGGTCACGGTTAGGCCAGGATGCCCTGTCTTCATGCCCCTGCCCTCCTCTTCAGAGTAGGCATGAGAACTGCAGGTGTGCCCTGAAGATCTGGTAAGACAGCCCGATCCTTGCAGGATGCCGGCTGGTGGATGGTTCATGCTTGCTCTTTGTGTTTCCATGTTCCCACTAGCACCGTTCTGAGCTAGATTAGCTTAGTATGTGCTCCCCAGCCGTGTAAATTAAGGAATTGTTGAGAATGTAACCTTTTGGACTGTTTTGTTTGGTTGGGACAAGTTCTCACCATGTAGAGCAGGCAGGCGTAGAAGTCACCGAGATCCCTTTGCTCCTGAGTTGTGGAATCACAATGCCCACTAAGATTCTTTTCTAGATAAGAAAATAAATGTGTGCCAACGGCTATGAAATTATCACAACAATCTTTATGTTTTATTAATTGAAAGCAAGTTGGCTGGTAATTGGCTGAGAAGGGGGAATTCTCGCTGTGTTCAGTAGACTTGGAATTTGGGCTAGGAGATTAGTGAGTTTACGCTGTGTCCAGCTCAACCACTGACAGGGATGATATACCTGAAACTTTGATGCAAATGCCAGTGTTTATTGGGTGCACATGTACACAGCCCCCCAGCCGACAGTGTATTTGGTGTCCAGCCACAGGCTGTGGACACTTGTATAACTGTTGCATCATTTCACCCCCGGGTACATAAATGGTTGTTATCATAAATTATGCAGATCAGAAATGTCTTCCATCCTGTTTCTTAAGAGAAAATCTTTTAGAGGTTTAGTCATAAATAATGAATGCTTATGTTCTAAAATCTCAGCAGTTCCATTTAAAATATACACACTAACCACTGTGGTTTTGGCTTAAATAAATTGTGAAGACAAAACATCATTGCATATTCGGTTGTCGTTCTGTCTGGGTTCTGCTCAGAGTCTTGTCTTGTAATGATGGTCCCTTTCTCTTTTTATCCTAAAGCTCAAGCTATAAAAGCCAAAGGTCCGGTGACGATCCCATACCCTCTTTTCCAGTCCCATGTTGAAGATCTTTATGTAGAAGGGCTTCCCGAAGGGATTCCTTTTAGAAGGCCATCGACATACGGCATTCCTCGCCTTGAGAGGATATTGCTGGCCAAGGAGAGGATCCGCTTTGTGATTAAGAAGTAAGACACACGTGCTTGTATGGGGCTCTTATCTGTTTCGGTTGATGCGTTTTCTTTTAACGCTGGCAAATACTCATTAATCACAGGCTGTATTTAAAAGCTCGAATGATTGTGTATCTCTTTATGTTCCACTCTTCCCTTTTCCTGTGTTTGTATGTGTGATCTGTGTGCATGTGTGGCACGTATTTGCATTTGTGTGTGCTTACGTGTCTGTGGGCCTTGAGGTTAACATGGTGGATCGATCGTCCACCTTATTGAGACAGGTCTCTCTCGGTTCACGATTCAGCTCGTCTGTCTAGCCTGTTTCACTCCAGGGATTGTCTCTGCTCTCTCAGGACATTTGTTGAGTGCTGAGGATCTGAGCTCTGGTCCTCTAGCTTCTGGGGAAAGTGCTTTACTGAGCTGTCTGCCCAGCAGCCTGTCTTCCCCCTTGTAATATGTGCGTACAAGCGTGCTCGATCAGACTGGGCGTGGCTCTGAGTCATGAGCCCCTGCCCACCTGGCAGGCCTGCAGTCAGGCAGTCAGATCTCCTTTTCTCACTGTTTTCAGTGAGGAAGAGTAGCCAGAGCATCTCTGTGTTGCCTGTAAGTCTGGAAAAGCGAATGCATACATGTGAGCATAAGAGTGAAAATTAAAATAAGCAAAGCTGGAAGGAAGAGTGAACAGGAAGAGGAGGCAGTAGTGAGGATGGCTTCCTTCGCTGTCTGCTGAGCAAGCGTGGCAATCGGAGGTGCTGCTCACGCACTGCTCCTAAAATGTCAGCCACCCGTACAATGCTGGGTATCATTTGCCCTTTTTGTTTCTACATTTACTTTTCTATATCTGTGCCTGCTTGTACGTGCACGTGAGGTCAGAGAACATTAGGTTTTCATGATCACTCTCAGGATGTCACGCTTGGCAGTGCGAGCTTACGTCATCTTGCTGACCCCACTTCCGTATCTCTTGGCTAAGATTACGGAGTAAAGTTTAAAGATCTAGGAGGGCATTTTTAAAGTAACAGAAGCAATGGAGGAAACCTCCTCCTATATCCTTGAAACAGTTTGCACACTTTGAAGGCGAAGCTGAAGTGTGGACTAGGAAACGCGGTACAGTACAGTAGCAGACATGCATTTAAAATGAGAGAGCCGGAAGACTGCTGGTCTAAGAAGGTCCGAAAGTGCCAGGACATGGAAAGAAAGTCATGTTTCTGTAGCATGGGCCTTTAGTTTCACCATTCCAGAGGCAGAGGCAGGAGGAGCTCTATGGGTTTGAAGCCTTTCTATCTTTATAGTGAGTTCCAGGACAGCAAGGACTACATAGATAGACCTTGTTTCAAAAAACTTGAGCTGGGCGGTGGTGGCGCACACCTTTAATCCCAGCACTTGGGAGGCAGAGGCAGGCGGATCTCTGTGAATTCGAGACCAGCCTGGTCTACAAGAGCTAGTTCCAGGACAGGCTCCAAAACCACAGAGAAACCCTGTCTCGGAAAAAAAAAAAAAAAAAAAAAAAAAAAAAAAAAGAAAAAAGAAAAAGAAAAAAAAAACTTGAGAAAAATGAAATAGTAAAAGTTTAAGATGGAACAAAGTCTTTGCTTTCTACAGTACTGGGCGGTGTGTGTGAGAGAGAGGTCACAGTTCAGGTCAGGGTCACTTCCTACAGAACTAGGCAGGGTGAGAGAGGTCACAGTTCACAGGGTCAGAGTCATTTCTTGCAGAACTGGGCGGGGTGAGAGAGAGGTCACAGTTCACAGGGATCCATGGCCTGCTTCTGCAGGAAGTTTCCCTGCTCTGCCTGTCCACCGGAGCATCAGCAGGCGCTCTGCCCACAGCCCACCATCGCGCAGCTGTGTCCACTGACCCTGACCTAGCTCCTCTCGCTTCCGGACGCCTCAGGTTGTCCCCAGGCCCCTGCTCCCCACCACCGCAGTGGCTCACACAGGAGGGCTGTGCGAATTAGGGTTTAGGGGTTTTATGGGTTCTTTGATTGTTCAGAAAAATACAGCATGTCTCTCACCCTGCACATACAAATGTTAAATATGTGCAGAGCTTAAAAAAAAGTTTATAGATGTGTGGGAGAACATATTTTTTAATATAATATAAAGTTATAGGACTCAATTACTGTAAACATTTTAAACTATCCATAGCAAGGTACCTCTTTTACTGTGAGCGCAGAGGCCCCACGAAGCATCTCCTGAGAGAGTTCACACTTACTGCGCTGTAGAGCCCTGTGAAGTTAGGTCCAGCTGTGTGAGTGCAGTCAGTCCCCACAGCTGGGTGCTGTGCGGCTGCTCTGTTTGCCTCCTTCCTGGATCCGGCCTAGCAAGTTCTCACCATTGGCTCTTTCCTTTTAGACATGAGCTTCTGAACTCTACACGAGAAGACTTACAGCTGGATAAGCCAGCGTCTGGAGGTGGGTATCAAGCCTCCAGGCAGTCCCAGCAGTGTGCCTGGGATTGTGAGCACTCAGGGTGTGGTGGCCTCGTCTGGAGGTTGCGGTAAAGAAACAGGCCTTTGGCTTGCACCCGAGCATTGTTACAGAGCATGCACCCCAGAACCCGAGTGCCCCATGGAAGAGCAACACTTGTTCTGTTTACTTATAACCACAGATAGTTGGGTAGATTGGGCCTGATGCTAGAGTTCTAAAACGTCTCTGTTGCTGTGAGAAACACTGACCAACAGCAACTTGGCCAGGAGAGGGTTATTTGGGAAGCCAAGGTAGCAGCTCAAATCAGGCAGCTAGAGGAAGGAACTGGAGCAGAGCCCATAGAGGAATGCTGCTTATTGTATTGCTTCTCTTGGCTTGCTCAGCTACCCCTTACCCAGCCTAGGCCCACTCTTCCAGGGATATAGCTCCATGCGCAGTGGGCTGGACTCCCACATCAATCAGCAGTGAAGAGAATGCCCCACAGAGCCCCATGGGCCAGTCTGGTGGAAATATTCTTCAATTAAGATTCCCTCATCCGCCGGTGGTGGTGGGGCATGCCTTTAATCCCAGCACTCAGGAGGCAGAGGCTGGCAGATCTCTCTGTGAGTTCAAGGCCAGCCTGGTCTACAGGGTGAGTTCCAGGATAGCCATATTGTTACACAGAGAAACCCTGTCCCAAAAAATAAAAAACAAAAAGATTCCCTCTTTCACCTGGTGGGGGGGGGGGCTTTAATCCTAGCACGGGAGGCAGAGGCAGGAGGATCTCTGTGAGTTTGAGGCCAGCCTGGGTCTACAGAGTGAGTCTGAGATAGCCAGGACTATACAGGGAAACCCAAACAAAAGATTCCCTCTTCCCTCTTTCTGCGTATGTCTAGTTTTACGTCAGGTCAACAAAAGCTATGATAGACAGACAGACTGTATTTCTGGGCAGACCTGCACAGTTGTATTCTCCCTGGCATGGTGGCTCATGCTTTTAATCCCAGTACTTGGGATTAGAACAGGCTGGCCTACTTGATGAGTTGCAGGTCAGCTGGGGCTACTGAGATATTGTCTCAGAAATAAATTTGCTAAAAAGTGTATTATAAAGTCTATATTTGTCAGTTGGGGAATGTGTCATCAATCCTGTCTAATTTAGGACATAGATTATCCTTTTAGAACATGGAGCCATAGATACTGTCATGTGATTTTGAAGGAAAGAGGTCATATTTCATCTTGTGTTCCTCTGAATGGAGTGGGAGTTGCCCCATGATGATTAATAAGAATTTCCCAAAGTTTTAGAGATAATTTCTGTCAAAGACAGGGAGAAAAATAACTTAGGGTGCTCTCACAACTGAGAGACCTTGTTCTTTTCCCTCCCAGTGAAGGAAGAGTGGTATGCACGGATCACCAAGCTGAGGAAGATGGTAGACCAGCTTTTCTGCAAGAAATTTGGTAAGTATATTTTTCCCCACACCAAACGTTACAGAGTAACTTTTAAGAAATTATAAATGTGAGTTTGTGTGACTGGGGGGCGGTACCTGCAGAAGCCAGCAGAGGGCGTCAGATGTCCTAGAGCAGTTGTGAGCCATCTAATATGAACGTTGGTACCTCCGGAGGAGCAGCAAGCACTCTGAACTGCTGAGCCCTCTCTCCAGCCACCTAATATGAACGTTGGTCCTCCGGAGGAGCAGCAAGCACTCTGAACTGCTGAGCCCTCTCTCCAGCCCCTGACAGTTTTTGTTTCTTTTATTTTATTGTAGGAATGAAGTGAGATGATTTGAACTTAACCTTGTGTTTTTTCTGTTGCTTTTAGTAAAATTTAAGTATAAGAAACTATATAACAGACAGCTGGGCAGTGGTGGTGCACACACCTTTAAATCCAGCACTCAGGAGGCAGAGGCAGGCGGATATCTTGAGTTCGAGGCCAGCCTGGTCTACAGAGTGAGTTCTAGGACCACAAGGGCTATATACACAGAGAACTCTGACTCAGAAAACCAGCCCCCACCTCCAAATAAAACACTATATAGGTTACGACAGAATAAACCTTCATTTTTCTTTTTGGGCTGGGATGGATTTGGTCTTCCACATCCTAAACAAATGCTTTGTCTCATTTTGGCAAATCCTTTATTGTGAGCCATACCTTGGCCCTGAGTGATTGCTTCATATAGTCTCATTTACGCAGTGTGCCTGTTTGACTGGTTCATTTCTCTTTTGGATCCCTTGTCATTGTGTTGCTATGAAATGAGAAGGACATTAGGTCCAGGGCGTGCATCTGTCCACTGGCCTCCTAAAGAGTCACCATGATTGTGTTTTATGTTATCTTGGTGTGTGCTATTGATTTACTATAATTTTTGTTGTATTGAGACAAAGTCTCACTGTGCAGGTGATATATAGACCAGGCTGACCACAAACTCACAGAAGTCTATCACATTTGCCTCTGAGTCCTGAGATCAGAGGCACAATCGACCATGTGGGATTCATGGTGCTGGGAATGGAACCCAGAGCTTTGTGCATGTAGGAGGAGGGCCCGCTTGTTCTTCCCAGCCGCCCGGCTAGCTTAGCCCCAAAATAACCACACAGAAACTGTATTAATTAAATCACTGCTTGGCCCATTAGCTCTAGCTTCTTATTGGCTAACTCTTACATCTTAATTTAACCCGTCTCCATTAATCTGTGCTTCACCACGCAGTAGTGGCCTACCAGCAAAGTTCCAGCACGTCTATCTCTGGCGGCCGTGGCTCCATGGTGTCTCTCTGACTCCATCCTTCTTCCTCCCAGAATTCAGTTCCGTTTTCCCCGCCTACATTAGTTCTTCCCTATCAACAAGCCAAGGCAGTTTCTTTATTCATTGACCAAGAAAAGTAACACACAGACAGAAGGAACTCCCCCCCCCCACCATGTGCGTTCTAGGCCAGCACTCTCACACCCTCAGATCTCCTGTTTCGGGTGATGGTTTTGTTTTGTTTTTTATTGTCATTTTGAGACAGCATGCAGCCTTTGCTGGCTGGAATTTGCTCGGTATCCCAGGCTGGTCTTAAACTAAAAGTGTGAGCCACCATATTTTACTTTTGTCTTACACATTTGGACATATGTGTTTGATTTGTTAACATTGCAGTGCCTTAAAGAAAGAAAGGAATCGGGGCTGGAGAGATGGCTCAGTGGTTAAGAGCATTGCCTGCTCTTCCAAAGGTTCTGAGTTCAGTTCCCAGCAACCACATGGTGGCTCACAACCATCAGTAATGAGGTCTGGTGCCCTCTTCTGGCCTGCAGACATATACACAGACAGAATATTGTATATACAATAAATAAGTAAATATTTAAAAAAAAAAAAAAGAGAGAGAAAAGAAAGAAAGGAATCTTAGAAACCGGGCGGTGGTGGCTCACGCCTTTAATCTCAGCACTCGGGAGGCAGAGCCAGGCGGATCTCTGTGAGTTCGAGGCCAGCCTGGTCTACTAGTTCCAGGACAGGAACCAAAAGCTACGGAGAAACCCTGTCTCGAAAATCAAAAAAAAAAAAAAAAAAGGGCATCTTAGGTATGAGTGTCAGGGTGTCAGTCTACATGTGTGTCTGTTCACCGCTGGAAAGTCTGGTGTCCGTGGAGGCCAGAAGAGGCCTGAATCCCCTGGCCTGGAGTTGCAGGTGGTTGTGAGCTGTCATGTGGGTTCTGGGAACCTCACCCAGGTTCTGCAAAGGCAGCTGGTGCTTATATCCACTCAGCTACCTCCCCAACCCCAGAACATCCTTTGTTGGTCGCTGTTCCCTGCAACAGGAACAAATCAAGTTTCTGTTTGGAAAGGAAATTTATCGAGTTTTATTTTGGGCTTAAGCCTATTAAACCTCTCAGGGTCCAGAAAGATTCACTATGGCAGGCGAAAACTTGGCTAATTGGATCTGAGGATAAAACGAAAGAAATCAGCTCATATATGTTACCACTACGTGTTCTTTATTCCTTGGAACAAAGAAGCAGCAAGAAGCATAAGGCATGATCTTCACACAGCTTTCAGTTTATATGCATTTTCACAGTCACAAGAACCTGTGGATCTGGCAAGGAGACATCTTATGTTTCAGAGGGGGCGTGACTGGGCACTAACCTACAGGCTGATTTGCATTAGCGTCTAGCTGGTTGAGTTAAAAGGAATCTCTTCTGGGGACCCTGCTTTTGAATCCAGCAGGGTGCCCAAGTGAGAACTTTTCTCTCTGAAGTTAGTTTTAGTGACTCAGGCCTTTTTCCCGTCTAAACAGTTAATTTCCTGGTCTAGGATCCTATGTTAGTTGAAACCAAGGTGGAGGGTAAACACAGAATACTACTAGTAAGTAGTTTAGAACAGACCAGTGGATTACAGCTTCCTGTCTGCTGTTAGAGCAGACAGACTGCCTCCTGTGTGAGGCTCCTTTCTTATCAGCGAGGTGTTAACAAAGAAAGTTTGTGGGGGACTAGCTTTATGTAGATTTTGGCTGTGAGAACAAAGGCTTGACTGAGTGAATCCTTTTCATTCCATGGCTAATGGTGTGGGGGGGAGGTATCGAGTTACCCTACAGGAAAAGTCGGTTTATACACTGCTGGGAAACTATAGAAGGGGAAATGTCATGATCTCACAAGATTTCTGTCCAAGGGACAGGTGTCCCCGCAGCTCTGCAAAAACGGGTGACTCCAAGTGGATGTTTACATACACACGTCCCGTGGATTAGTCCACTAGATCTGTCAGCTGTACATTCACTGTGTAACACTTGTGGGCTCACCGCAGAAATTTTCTTTTCCACTACACTGGGGTAGTGACTGGGTGATAAAGAAATACCATCTACTGACAAATCAGAGGTCGAGGCTTCTCAAACATGTCAGTTTCCCTGGCTGTCCACTGTAGCATGAATTCTAGTTGGTCTTAATAATAAAAACCCAGAGTCAGATATAGGAGTTATTGCTGAAGATCAGAGAAACAGAGTGGCCAGCCACCAGAGAGTTCTTTTACGTCTCCCAATGCTCAGACCAACAGGGCGATCCTCTCCTCATACCGCACTGCCGTCCTGGCTCCTCCCACCTTATAGTCCTCTCTTCTACCCAGCGATATCACTGCTGGCTCCTCCTCCCTAGTGCTAGGATTAAAGACTTGGGATCCCATCCCAAGTATGTGAGCTCTGTTTCTCTTTTAGACAGATTCAGTCTAGTGTAGCTCAGGGTGGCCTTGAACTAACAGAGATTCCCTCTTCCTCTGTCTTCCAAATCCTGGGATTAAAGATGTATACCACCACTGCCTGGCCTGCACTCTATTCTTCAGGCAAGCTTTATTTGTTAAAACATAAACAAAATAGCATCACAGTCTGCAATGAGTCAGGCCTTAGTAACACCTTCCTTCCCATCTGGGTGTAAATTCCTCCGTGTTCCTAGACATTTCGCAGCCAAGATCAAGTGATGGCCGTTGTTTATTGTTTTGCATGCCACCGTTATGTCATGGTGGTTTGTATGTGGGAGAGACATGTGGTTCTGAGTGTCTTGCGCCCTGAGAGTATCGCTGGTGTTGGCTGTTGTGGGCTTTCCCTAAGAAGTGGCGAAGGAAAGAAGGAAGAGGAAGGGAAAGGAGAAGTGGCCGGTGGGAGATGGCTGGGCTTTGCCAAGCACAGCTGAGGAAACAGACTCGGGCTGGGATGTGGCTCTTTTTAAGGTGCTTGCTTGGTGTGCCTAAGACCATGGCTTTGAGCCCCAATATTATAATTTTAGAAAACTTTATTTTGTAATTTATTTATTTTTATTTTGTGTGTGGGGGGTTGCCTGCATGTATGTCTTTGTGAAGGAGTCAGATCTCCTGACACTGGATTACAGGAAGTTATGAGCTACCATGTGGGAGCTGGAAATTGAACCCAGGTCTTCTGGAAGAGCAGCCACTGCTCTTAATTGCTTTGCCATCTCTCTAGCTCCCAATTTAAAAAAAATTTTTAAAGAGAGAAAGTAGATATTAAGAGGGTTGACGATGTAGTTCAGTTGGTGGAATGCTTGCTTAGTGTACATGAAACCCAGAATTTTATTCCCAGCCACCACCATCCAAAAAGGAACTTTACTGGCTTTGTGGGTGGCATTTTCGGTGGATTTGAATAGGTGGCTGTTGGGAACTGCTGAGAAATAGGCAGCCTCTGGTGCCCTTCCTAAGGTTTCTGTAGCCGTAGGAAACACGACCTCCCTGAAACCCGTTAGGAGTGTGCTCCGCCCTCACCAGTGTCCACTGCCTGTGACTGGTGCCTGCGCGTTCCTGTTCACTCTCATGGACTGTGCAGACCATTCAGGAGGGGAGGGGACCCAGCCCATCTTGGAAGCACTGGTTCCTGTCGGGCAATGGGCAGGACTTCCTGGTCCATGAGTGTGGCTCATTGCAGACTAAGCGAGGTGGGGACTGTCACAATAGGGAGAGCTCACAGACTTGACTTTTGCCCTTTTCTTTCCGGTTTTTTTCTTTTATTGAGACAAAGTCTCACTATGTAGCCCAGGCTGGCCTCAGACTGAGCAATCCCTCTGCCTCTGTGAATGCTGAGATTAAAGGCCTTTGCCGCTACAGCCAGCTTCCACCTTTTGTCTCTCAACTGCTGTCAACTCAAGCATGATTTTATTTCATAAAAAGCCTGTTAAAATTAGGTTTAAATTTTTTCTTATCTAGCAGATAAGACAGGAATGGATCCGAGCTGTCACGGGGTTCTGATCCTCTTGGGCACATTCCCTTTACTGGTGCGGTGGTGACGACCTCGCCTGTGATTTTTCTAACACAAGAGCCCTTCAGTTCTGGTGTTGCTAATACGAAGGAAGGATCGAGGCAGACTGGGTTGGGGGATAGCTCAGTTGTTACAGTGCTTGTCGCAGAGCTGTGAGGCCCGATGTTTGAGCTCTCGAACCCACGGTCAAGCAAGGTGGACGCGGTGGTGTGTGCCCTTGTGGTCTCCGCGGTGAGGAGGTGCAGATAGGAGGGTACCTGGAGCGTGCTGGCAGCCAGCCTGCATGAAAAGTTTCAGGCTTATCAGGAAGAGAGCAAGCCTGTCTCAGTCGGCAGCCTGAGGAACTACACTGTGTTGACCTCTGTTCTGCACATGTGCACAAAAACTGTTTGGGTGAAGTTTCAGACTAGAGATTAATATATGGATTTAAAACCCTCCCCCATATAGGCGCTCTCTCTCTCTCTCTCTCTCTCTCTCTCTCTCTCTCTCTCTCTCTCTCTCTCTCTCTCTCTCTCTCTCTGTGTGTGTGTGTGTGTGTGTGTCTCAGGCAACCCTGGCACTCCATATTCCCCAGCCCAGCCTCCTGAGTGCTAGGTTTACAGGCTCACACCCATGGCAGGCTTGTTTTGTGTTTTAGTTGTGGTATTTGAAGCTGGGCACTTGGGGTATTGGCTGTGTGTGACTTCAGCCTGAGTTTCCTGCCTTGCTCTCATCTTCTACAGCTGAGGCCTTGGGGAGCACAGAAGCCAAGGCTGTACCATACCAAAAATTTGAGGCCCATCCCAATGACCTCTATGTGGAAGGACTTCCAGAAAACATTCCTTTCCGAAGCCCCTCGTGGTATGGAATCCCAAGACTGGAAAAAATCATCCAAGTGGGCAATCGAATTAAATTTGTTATCAAAAGGTAAGAAAAAAACTTTCCCCTGCCATTTGAAGATGGATCTTTTCTCCTGAGTGGTCCTTCCTGTGTACACCATAAATGCAGTGTTTCATTTACATGAGCTGATTAAACAGATGTTTCTCTAGTACAGTACTGAGGTGTGTGCCAAATGGGGCCCAAGAGAAGCTGCCTCGTGAGCCTGACCCTTGTGTCAGGACAGTGACGAGAGAGCATTAGAATGCAGGGAGGGCACACTTCTAGCCTGTCCCTGGGCTATGCGGCCTGGGAAGGGATCTTCCAGAACAGTGATGTCCGTGGAGGCAGGAAGGGGTCAGTTGTGGCTGCACTCCTGGTGTGAGGAGCGGGATGCCACCACAGATGGCTGAGTGGAGGAAGGCAGCACGCAGTAGTGTGTGTTTAAAGGTCCTGAAGCAGAGTCCCCTGTGGTCCTTTGTCCTGGCTGTCATGGGTACATCAAGGGGTGATGTGTGTTGAGGAGCGGGCACAGAAAGCCGGCCTCCTTCAGTCCCAGGGATGTTTCCTGGGGCTTCTTCTGCCTTGTCATTTGTGGCATGTGCATTGGTATTTGTCGGGATTGAATGGGGACGTGGGACAACAGTGTCGGGTGCCCAGCTCCAGGAGGACAAGAGGTGGCAGGTTGAGTTGGTTTGGAAAAGAACGTGACTGGCACACCTCTATTTCTACAGAGACCCATAATCCTATAGTTTTATGGAATTCGCTTTTTTCAGAATAGTCACCAAAATGGTTTGTTTTCCTGCACAAGAGGGCAGAATGGGCCATACTAAAAATGAACTGACAGTATGTAGCTGAGTGGGAGTCTTGACACTGCTCCTGAATACTCTGACCACTAATGTTGCTAACACTTTCACAGGCCAGAACTCCTGACTCACAGTACAACTGAAGTGACTCAGCCACGGACGAACACGCCAGGTATAGTTGCCCAGAACCCACCCACCCATCTGTCCGTCCACTCGTCCTTCCTTCTTTTCTTTTTTCCTTCCTTTTATTTATTTTTGGTTTGTTGAGACAGGGTTTCTCTGTGTAGCCTTGGCTGTTTTGAAACTCACTCTGTAGACCAGGCTGGCCTCACAGAGATCCTCCTGAGTGCTGGGATTAAAGGCGTGTGCTACCACCGCCTGGCTCCTTTTTATTTAAATAATTTTATTTTTGAAAAAAATGTTTCCATATTGGTGGGAACTAAACCCAGTGCCTCGTGTGTTTAGCAAGAGTTGTACTACTGAATGATGTCCCTAACACTCTTCCTTTTCCCTCTAAGTTGTTCAGAGTAGCCTAGAACTCACTTTGTAGTGTAGGGTGGCATTGAACCTGATTCTGAGGTAGCAAGAACCAAACCATGTCTGAAAAGTTCTTCAACACTCCACCCCTCCCTTGAGCCCTTACATTTCCACACCTGTCTTCTCTGATACTCCCTGTACGCAGTGATATAGGTTTCCACTTGTCTCCAGAGCCTTAGGCCATCGTACCGTGCCAACACTGCACCCTGGCAGCTGGACCACAGTAACCACTTTAGATGTTTCTTATGCTGGGCAGGGGTGGCAGACGCCTTTAATCACAGCACACAGGAGGCAGAGGCAGGCAGATCTCTGTGAATTCAAGGTCACACTGGTCTATATAGCAGTTCCAGAACAGCCAGGGCTACACAGAGAAACACTGTCTGGAAAAACAAAAAACAACCAAAGCTACACAGAGAAACCCTGTCTCAAAAAAAGAAAGACAAACAAAACAGTTCCTTAGCTGATGTTTTGATGTTTATACGCTATTGCAGGACGTTCTTTCTTACCTTTTGGAGACATGTTTACCTCCCCCAGGAATTTCACAGCCGCGTCTGTCCCCTGCATCCTGCATCGTGGGTGACAGATTAGCCTGTTAGCTGTGCTCACATGTGTTAGATGCTTTGCTTTTTGCTGGAAAGAGGGACTCCTTCCTCACTCGCCTGAGTGCTCATGTGCTTGTCTGAATGTAAGACCCTCAGAGGTGGGCACTATGGTGGGAACTCTGCTAGCCACACTTGCTATTAGCCACAGTTCCATGTGGGACCTCCCGGCACCTTCTGTGGCCAGCCCAGTAGAGAAGTGACCAGAGCAGTGATGACAACAGCCCTGTCCCACCTGGAAGAGTCTTCCACAGCGGCAGTCTCTTCTGCCCTTAAGTCTGTGGGATTTGTCTCAGTACCGTAAGCAGCATTATTGGTGACGTTTGGTTTTGCTTCTTTCCAGTCAAAGAAGATTGGAATGTCAGAATCACCAAGCTTCGCAAGCAGGTGGAAGAGATCTTTAATTTGAAGTTTGGTAAGTGAGATACAGTGGTTACATCTTAAGTTACAGACAGTGGACGGTTCCGAATGAATTCTAGAAGTTCAGAACGTAATGAATGGAGGTCCCAGAAAGAGGGCCTTAATTTACTTCTCTTGCTCATCTCACCCCTTAAATCAGAGAGTTGTTTCATGTTTCTCTGCTTCTGTCTTCTCCTGTGTCACAGTTGGCGGGGGGCTTTAGAGCCACTGTGCTTCTCACCTGGAGAACACATGACCTTCATCATTTGCTTCACCTTAGAGTAGCTGCCAGGTTCCTCGGGCTCAGTGCGGGTTTCAGTGGCTTGTCCAGTCAGTCATGTAGAAGGAAGCGTGACAGAAAATGCCAGCATGGTCTGCTACACTGCACTGTAACATCTGCTCTCTGTGGATCTTTTGCTCTGTGCTTCTGGAGGCCTCAGCTTGGGCCTGGCTTTCCTGGAAGATTCGGGCCTACAGGCCAGCACAGATACATGATCAACCCCATGCTGTGTTCAGTGGCCTTTGCTTACTTCTGTCTTGAACACGGTGACCTTTTAGATTCATAACCTGACTGTTATTAAACATTTTTTATTTTGGATTTTCGAGACAGGGTTTCTCCGTAGCTTTTTGGTTCCTGTCCTGGAACTAGCTCTTGTAGACCAGGCTGGCCTCTCGAACTCACAGAGATCCGCCTGCCTCTGCCTCCTGAGTGCTGGGATTAAAGGCGTGCGCCACCACCGCCCGGCATAAACTGGCTGTTATTTGCATTGAAAATGTTTAAATGTCTGTTGGCTGGGCTGATGGCACATGCTTGTAATCCCAGCACTCGGGAGGCAGAAGCAGGTGGATCTCTGTGAGTTCGAGGCTAGCTTGGTCTACAGAGCTAGTTCCAGGACAGCCAGGGCTGCACAGGAAACCTTGTATGCGTGTGTCCCCAAAGAAAAGCGCTGTCTGTCAGATGGGGAGAAGACTGGATTGTGACAAGCATTGCTGCTGTTCCAGAGCGTCTGGTTTAGGGTGCTAGCACCCACAGGGCAACCCACAGCCTGCTCCACTTCCAGTTTCCGGGGACCTGACTCCTGGCCTCCTTGGGTACCAGGCGTGTTTGTGATGCACAACAGACACATAAAGTAGAATTTATTTTTTGAGAAAATAGTTGTTTTTAAAGTGCAGTTTGTTTTTCTGGGTACTGTAGTTCATGCTATAGTCCTGGCTCTTAAGAAGCTGAGGCAGGAGGATAAATATTAGTTTGAGACCAGCCTACACTATATACCAAAAACCTGTGCTAAAAAACAACTAAACAAAATGCTGATTTTAAAAAGTATAAGTGGGCTAGACAGTGTTAGTGCGCCTAGTACTTGGGAGGCAGAAGCAGACGGATCTCTGTGAGTTTGAGGCCTGCCTAGTCTACAGAGTGAGTTCCAGGACAACCAGGGTTGCACAGGGAAACTATATCTGGAAAAACAACAACAAAAAAGGTAGAGTTGAATTCATTTTTAAAATTTTAGATATGTTAAATTTTATGTATACGGGTGTTTTGTCTACTGTATGCATGTGTAACTAATGCCTGTGGAATTAAGAAGAAGAAGGCATCGGATGCCTGGAACTGGAGTCATGCATGGTTTGAGCCACTGTATGGGTGCTGGGGACTGAATCCTGGGTCCTCTACAAGAGCAGAAAGTGCTCTTAATTGCCTAGCTGTCTTTCCAGCGCTGACATTTATTATTATTATTATTATTATTATTATTATTATTATTATCTTCATCGTCATATTAAGTTACTTCTTAATAGTGAGTGTCTGTGGGTTGGATTGCCAGGAAGTTAGCATAGATACAAACCATGTTCCTGACTTGGCTTCTCTTTGTCTTTCAGCTCAAGCTCTTGGCCTCACAGAGGCAGTGAAGGTGCCCTATCCTGTATTTGAATCAAATCCAGAGTTTCTGTATGTGGAAGGGCTGCCTGAGGGGATCCCCTTCCGAAGCCCCACCTGGTTTGGGATTCCACGCCTGGAGAGGATTGTCCGTGGGAGCAATAAGATCAAGTTTGTCGTTAAAAAGTAAGCTGCCTTTGCCTCTACAGCCATTTGCCATGTTGCTAGCCTTGCTGTGCCTCAGTGAGTCCTTTGTTCTTGGCTAGACCTCCTGGGGGTGGCAAGGGGGAGGCTCCTCCCGCTGCCCTGCAGGTTCAGAACACAGAGCTTTGCTAAACTTGGGATTAAACCCAGGGCCTGAACAATTTGGCAAGCACTCTGCTGCCGAGGCCCTAGCTCCTCATTGGGGGATTCAAGGAGAGTGTTCTCTTACTGAACTGCACCCAATCCTCAGGATAGATTTCCAGTCAGTCACCATTCCCCTGAACTTCCGTCAACTAAAGCCCAGGCAACATGCTTGCTCTGCTTTCCCCAGTTCATCGTGACGGAGTTATTTACTTTGCTGCAGAGATTCAGTGGATGACAGAAGTGATCTGGCGTTCATTTGCCATTTTAAAGGAGTTACAGAAGCTGGAGAGGTGGCTGTCTTAGTCACTGTTCTATGTGGCACAGACACTGTGGGTTTAGTTGAGGGTTTGCTTGCAGTCTCAGTCCATTACCGTCATGGTGGGGAGCATGAGGGTAGGCACAGAAGGCGTGACATGACGTGACGCTGGAGAGGTAGCTGAGAACCGCATCCTCATCCACAAGCAGTGGGCCTAGTGTGGGCTTTTAAAGCCTCACCCCAGTAACACCCTTCTTCCAGCAATGGCCACTGCTTGGTGACCAAGCCTTCATATACATGGGCCTCTGGGGGCCATTCTTACTCAAACCACCACATTCCACTCTCTGGCCCCTGAAGGGTTACAGCCATGTCATAATGCAAAATACAATTAGTCCAACTACTGAAAGTCCTCATAGGCTTTCCTAGTCCCAACACTATTTGAAATGCCAAGGAGTCTTCTGAGACTCATGGCAGTCTCTTAACTGTAACCTCTTGTAAAATAAAAAAGCAGATCACATACTTCCAACATAAACTGGCACAGAGTACACATGGATGGCTGTTCCAAAAAGGAGCATAACGAGGAAACACTGGACCAAAGCACAACCGAAAACCAACTGGGCAAGCTCCAACTCTGCATCTCCGTGTCTGGTGTCAAGGTCGTCTTTAGATCTCCACTTACTTTCAGCTTTGTTGTCTGCAACACGCTGGTCCCACTCCCTGTTAGCAGTTTCCCTTGGCAAGTGTCACATGACTCTGGCATCTCTAGCATCTTGAGATCTCCAGAGCAATCCTGGCCTCCTCTCTGGGCCTCCATGCACGGACACCACTGACACATGCCTGACCTCAGCAGCTTTCCCTAGCCATGGAGGGAGATTCCAAAACCTCTTTCTTGTACTCTTGGCTCTAAAGCCAGACCCACGTGACTGAAGCTGCCAGGTTCTGCTTGATGGGGCTGGGCTTGCCGCTCCTCCAATTACGATTTCATCATCAGCTTCTGGTTCTGGCTTCCTTTGCTGCTTAAGCCTTTCTTTAATTCTTTTCACCAGTTAGGAGCTTAGCCTCTGGAGTCGTGCCCCAAGACACCGCTCCCTTTCTTCCCTTCAGCACCAGGCTTTTCTTTAAACTTCTCATCTCCTTGAGCCCTGGGCTTTGCTCCATTACATTTACTGGTGCCCCCTTCTCCTCAAGCTGTACATTTTGTGGTTCTCTTTGTCCAGCTGGCTCCTTTTCATTAGGGATCTGCATAGAGGGATTGTTAATAAGACACAGCCAATACTAGGATGCTCCCAAAACTCTCCAATTTCACCTCAGGCAGATATTTAGGACAGGACAAGAAGCAGCCATATTCTTCGCCCAGACATCCCAAGAACAATCTCTAGGACACTTACCGATATTCTTCCCCTCCGAGACCTCTTGAGCTGAGCCCTCGCAGTTCAACTTGCCCTCAGTACTATCTTCCACATTCCTACTAGTGTGACCCGTTAAGCCTTCAGTGGCTTTTCCAGTCCAGAGTTCAGCAAGCGTGGTCAGGCTTCTCACATCGGTACCCACAGTTTCTGTCTTAGACACCGTGACAACAGCAGTTTTTATAATAGGAAACGTGTGGTTGGGGGCTGGCTTACAGTTGCAGAGGCTTATTCTGTTATCATTGGCAATGGGAGCATAGCAACACACATGGTGCTGGAGAAGAAACTGATCCCCATCCTGATCGAGAGAGAGAGAGAGAGAGAGAGAGAGAGAGAGAGAGAGAGAGAGCGCGCGAGCGCTTTGAGAGAGACTGGACCTGGTATGGGTTTTGAAACCTCAGTGCCCACCCTTCAATGGCATACTTTCACCAACATGGTCACACCTACTCCAACAAGTTGTTCTCAAACAGGGCCACTCCTTGGTGATGAAACATTCAAATATATGAGCCTATGGGAGCTGTTCTTTTTCAAACCACCACAGACGGCTCCAGTTAATAGCACTGACTGCCCGAGAACCCACATAGCAGCTCATAACCATCTTATCTCCAGTCCTGGGGATCCAACACCCTCTTCTGACCTCCAAAGGCACTAGACCTGCATGCACAGAAAACACCAATATATGTGTTTTTATTTTCTCGAAATAGTTCTGGCGTTTGTGCTGTGTGAGTGACGCACTGTGTTCTTTCTAGGCCTGAGCTAGTTGTGTCCTACCTGCCTCCCGGGATGGCCAGCAAGATCAACACGAAAGGTAAGAGCAGCCCCTCAGGGCGTGAGCACATGGCCTTCCTCGCTGCCGAGCCTTTGTCACCTGAGTCACAGTTCATTGTCACCACGGGCTTTGGTTTATTTCTTTGCTTTAAGCTGTTTTACTTTGTGAATTTTTTTTAAGATTTATTTATTTATTAAGCATACAATGTACTGCTGGCAAGGAAGGCACCAGGTCTCATTACAGATGGTTGTGAGTGACCATGCGGTTGCTGGGGATTGAACTCGGGACCTCTGGAAGAGCAGCCAGTGCTGCTGAGCCATCTCTCCAGCCCCGTGGATCTCTTTTTCTCTCTTCTGTTTCCTTGCCCTCTCGCTGGAAGTTGATATTTGCATCCTCCTCCATGGGCGTTTCCACAGCTTTCTGGCACTCATGTGGAGGGTTACACTCCCGTTTAGTTCTTCAGGTTTCTTTGGAAAGAACAAACTGTATGACTTTAATACTCTGCTTTTATAGAGCACCTCTGTATTTTTTTTTGTGCAGCTTGCAAAGATAATATTGCCCTTTGCCTTACAGCACTGCAGTCCCCAAAGCGACCACGAAGCCCTGGGAGCAACTCCAAGGTCCCTGAGATTGAGGTCACTGTGGAAGGTGAGTTGTTCTACGTTTTCTCCTCACTCTTTGTCCTACAGTTGTATGGACTCAGGAACTTCTGTGCAGTTGGGGTTTCACGTCTAAAAAGCACCTGATGCTAAATTTATGAATATTGTGTTTTTTTAATGCATGACTGTGTGTGTGTGTCTTTGTGTTTGCATTGTTATAGGACATCTCGGGTGTCGCCTTCAGGAACACTGTCCTTGTGCTTTGAGATAGGTCCCCTTTTTTGTTCTAGACCTAGCTGGGTAGGCTATACTGGCTGCCCTCGGGTCCTCAGGCATAGTGGTAATGCACTTTAGTGACGCTGACACCTCCCTTGCTTAACTTACATTGTTTGTAAACTGTGGGTCCTGTGGAGACCTACTTGAGGAGACCCCTCGGGTTGTTTTTCCGTAATGATAAAGTAAGGCAGACCTACCACACTAAGATGTTTCTCATCTTTTTTCCTCTTTGTTTTCCCTATGTTTGATGAAGTGTGTTTATAGGTGGTTTGAATAGCAGTGTGCTTGCTCACAGCAAGTCTGTGTCTTTACGTGTCTTCTTCCAGCCTCTGTTGTGCAGGGCTGTCACCTTTGGAAGTCCATTGTCTAAGATGCCTGGCATAGTAACAGACAGTGCTGGGCACATTGTTTCCATTGACACAGAAGGAAACAGTCGCCTGGGGGGCACCTGGTCCTTGGGTCCTCACTGCGGTTTTCTCTCAGTGTCCCCACTTAGTCGTCTTGTGTACTTGCACAGAGTCCATTTTCAAAGAACAGGTGGAAGGTAGTCATGGCAGGTGGTTGGTAAACAACGGACCCTGTGTGCCAGCTTACCACCCTGATGTGCAGTGGCCACAGGGAAGATGGACTGACTTCCTTGCTGGTTTGGTGACTTGTCCCCAGGACTCTGTCCCTTCCTCGTGACCACTCGTAAAGTGCACGATGTTCCTTTTAGTAAAGACTTCCCCAGAAGCCATGCCAAGCTGTGCTGAGGTGACCCTTCTGTGTGCCCTAAGCCTCTGAGTAGTTCTTTAGAAGCAGCTGCAGGAAGGGCGGGACAGAGAAACCACCCTCTACATGGCTGAGCCCATCAGCGGTGATACTGCATCAGCGCGAGTTTTCGTTGTCAGGTTCCGGTCCACAAAGGAGATGACACTGCTTTTGGTCTAGTTGCCAGAAATCTGTGTTGAGGCAGAGACACATGCGGCCCTTTCTTGGCAGGGAGGCAGGCAGGCAGGCAGGCGTGGGAGCAGAGTGCTGAGCGTGCAGAGCCGTGGCCTGCTGTGTTTTGTTCCCATTTGTGCTGGATCTCAGGAGCCTTTTGACATGTTGCCAGAATCCTAGCATGTACGTGTGTGTGCTGTATTTTCTGTTGCACGCTAGCCAGCAGTGAGCACCCGGTGACTGTTTGCCTTTGAGTTTTCTCTAGGCCCCAACAACAACAGCCCTCAGACCTCCACCGTTCGAACTCCAACCCAGACCAACGGTTCAAATGTTCCATTCAAGCCTCGAGGGAGAGAGTTTTCCTTTGGTAAATACATCTTTTGTTTTTCTTGATTTCAGCATTTCAAATAAAAAGATTTAGTGTGCACGTCAGCAGGACAGTGTTTTTCTTGGATGCGCCAGTGTGTGTTAGATATTAACATGCAGGAAGAACCAGGCTGCCTTCCTATGGGACACAGGCAAGTGTGTGCCCCAGGGGTGCCTGACGATTGTAAGTTGGGTTACTGCATGGAAGCCAGAGCTGGCACGTAGTAGACACTGTGACAGGCCAGGAGAGGTCCTTTGTTCTTCATTTTGGCGTGGTTCAGAGTGTTGGTAACCCAATCTAACCGATTACTTTAGTTGTATGAGGATTGGCGGGGCAGGCAAGACAGCGTGTTTACAAACCTTTGTGTTTCTTACATAGAGACTTAGATCTTGTATGCATACATGATGTGAATGGAGTAAAGCTGTCTGCGGAACACAGATGCACTAGTGCGCAAGGGAGTGAAGAGCGCATGTGCTCTATAAAATGTCCTCTGTCACACAGTGACACAGTGAATGAAGGAACAGCCCGCTGTGTGCTCTCCTGTGCTTTGTAAAGCTGCACAATAGAGAGATGAGGTGAACCAGGGTGCTGGTGCTCCTCTAGTCCCAGCACACGGAGGGCAGGTGAACCAGGGGGCCAGCATGAGTGACTCCCTAACTCAAGTCAGTGAAAGGATAAGGTAAAAATCTCCGTCCTCCCTCGGGAAACCCTGCTCACTGGGGCTGCTGCTCTCTCCTCGCAGAGGCCTGGAACGCCAAGATCACTGACCTGAAGCAGAAGGTGGAAAACTTGTTCAATGAAAAATGCGGTAGGTTTGTTCTGGAACCCTGACATGAAGTAGTTCTCTAGTAGAACTGGTGTGAATTTGATGTTTAAATGCCTTTGGACCAGCCTCCCATTTTACTGAGTATCAAGAATTCCAAAAGCATTTTCCAAAATAAAATGAATGTTATTTTTCAAATAAATAAGGGTCTGTAATTGCTGCCGAATGCTGCAAACGGCTTGTCTAAAGCTGTATGGAATGAGTATTACAGTTACAGTCGTGTGTTGCAGGGGAAGCCCTTGGCCTTAAGCAGGCTGTGAAAGTGCCATTCGCGCTGTTCGAGTCCTTCCCGGAAGACTTCTATGTAGAAGGCCTACCCGAGGGGGTGCCTTTCCGAAGACCCTCCACATTTGGCATTCCGAGGCTGGAGAAGATACTCCGGAACAAGGCCAAGATAAAGTTCATCATTAAAAAGTGAGGACCTGGGGGCGAGAGATGGCTCAGAGGTTAAGAGCACTGGCTGCTCTTCCAGAAGTCCTGAGTTCAATTCCCAGCAACCACATGGTGGCTCACAACCATCTGTACTGAGATCTGGCGCCCTCCTCTGGCGTGTGGGCATACATGGAGGCAGAATGTTGTATACATAATAAATAAATCAATCTTTTAAAAAAAAAAAAAAAGTGAGGACCTGAGGTGGAGAACAGGGCTGGCCTCACAGTGTGCTATCCTGGATTGAAACTGGTCTTCAAGAGACTAAGTCATTATAGGGATGGAGAGACAACCCAGTGGTTAAGAGTGCTTGCTGCACAGCTTTGGGGACCTGAATCCAGGTGCCAGCTCCCTCATAACAAACAAGGAGGAGCACCTGACCTTAGTGCTGGGGGTTGGGCAGAGGCAGGAGGATCTTTGGGGCTGCTGCCTGGGGTGGGAATGTGAGCTACAGGTTCTAGAGAGATCTGTCTGAAAGAAACGAGAGTAATAGAGGACACCTGGGCCCTCCTGGCCTCTGCTCACACAGCTTGTGCACCAGCACACGTGTGTACGTACAACACAGGCCCTTTTATTTGTTTGGGTGTGGCTTGCCCACTTGCTCTTCGAGCATGTACCTAGGCTACAGGCATGGGCGTTTCTTACTTCTGCTCTTGGGTCGCATACTGATCCTCAGAGCATGCTCTCCCCTTGGGAAGAAGATGGCAGCGGCACTGGCATGTCCAGCAAGAGTCCAGCAGCAGTAGAGGCTGGTGTAGTTGACCCTTCTTGGGCCCAGGTTACTTCCAAGTGCCGCGTGTGGGTGGCAGAGCTGCCGGCTACACGCTGCATCATCTTCCCTGGGTGTCTTGTTCCGGGTTAACCAGCCTATTTCTTTTTTCTCTTGCTTGTAGACCTGAGATGTTTGAGACGGCCATCAAAGAGAGCACCTCTTCCAAAAGCCCTCCGAGTGAGTGTCCTTTGAGAACAGTGTGACTTTTGGGCAGTCGTTAGTTCTCGAGCAGTGAACGCTGCACAGTGTTGCTCCGCAGAAAGTCTGCCATCTTTAGTGCCTTCCTGGAATAAAACCAGCATGCAAGTACCAGCCCTTCTGGGCCAGGCTGTGGCCAGCTCATGACTGACTGTGGGCATGCAACTTTGGTTTATTAAAGAAAATTCTGACTACATGTGTTTTGTCTAACCCCTAATCTTTAGTTTTCACTTTCAGGGAAGATAAACTCATCACCCAACGTTAATACTACTGCATCAGGTGTGGAAGACCTTAACATCATTCAGGTGACAATTCCAGGTACGATTTCTGCCTGCCTCGTGGACTCTGTCAGACTCCAGAACCTGTTTCCGGGCTGCTTCCTATTCCCAGCGGCAGCTCATGTAGTGCAGCTTCTCTCTGTCAGCCTGGCTGCACAGCACTGGACCTAAATTCAGTCCTGCTCACGACTCCGTGTCTCTACAGTTTTCAGAAAGTCTCTCTGGAGGCTGGGGAGACGGACGGCTCCGTGAGTAAGAGCACTGGCTGCTCCCGAGGGCTCTAGTTTGACTTCCAGCACCTGCACGGTAGCTCACGGCCAGTTATAACTACACTCCCATAGACCTGACACACTTTACTGGCCGACGTGGGCATTGGACACACACTTGGTGCGCAGGCATATATACAGGCAAAACTCCCATACATATAAAGAAATCTTTTAAAAAATAAAATCTTCCCAGCACTCGGGAGGCAGAGGCAGGCGGATCTCTGTGAGTTCGAGACCAGCCTGGTCTACAGAGCTAGTTCCAGGATAGGCTCCAAAGCCACAGAGAAACCCTGTCTCAAA